ATGTTTAGTAATGACCAATTTGCTGGTGAGTATATGTGGTTGCTTGTTTTTCCATTCTTTGGGAAACTTCACGTTAATATATGGTTTTCCAGCTTCTAACCAGGAAAATGATAAGATGTGCTATATCACATTGTTCTTAAGCTGAAAGTACTCCATGGTTTACATGTACCAGATTTTATAATCCATTCTTGGCATGGCATGGCACCTGGGTATCTCCACCGGCCTATGCAATTATGGATTGTGACTGCTATAAATTCGGTGGAGGTGTGCCTTTTTGTAGAAGTGTCATTGGATTATTTTGGGTAATGGCCCAAGCAATGGGATTGCTGGATCAATAGTAGATTCCTTGTATTGCTTTATGGTAATCTCCATATTCTTCCACAGAGGTGAACTAGATTTTGCGTCCCACCAGCAGTGTATAGGAGTACTAGAATTTTTTAATTTCCATCTTGATTTTTCATTTGATGACGTAATCAGTTTGTAGGCATGCTTGTTTAATTTCATTTTTTGTGTAAAATGTGAGTTTCTGTTGAGGTTGATTTCAACTTTTATTCCTGTGATCTGAGGAAGGTACCATTGGTATGATTTCTATTTTTTTAAATTGTCTTGAGATTTACTTTGTGTCGCTAGGATATTGGTCCAATCTAGAGAAGTTCCCGTGGCTGATGAGAAGAATTATATTCAGTGGATTTTGGGGTAGAATGTCCTGTAGATGTCAGTCAGACCCAGTGTTCCAAGGTTTGTTAGCACTTATTCTTGATTAATTTTCTGTTTGGAATTCTGTCTTGTGCCAGTCAGCTGTACGGTCCCAAAAAGGAAGGTCTTGTTCCCTGGAGGTGCCTCGGGCTGGTGGCTATATTGTCTCTCTGGGAAGCCGCGGGTAGTGTCGGTGGAGGGGAGAAGGAGGCAATATGGCGCCTGCTGCGCGGCTCGGGTCTGTGCACACGGAGGTGCCCTCAGGGATTTGGGAGTCTGGTGCTGCGTCCGCTACAGGCTCACCGCTAGCTGGCGGCGGCCGTCTCTGTGCTGGTGTCTGCAGGTCTCTCTACCCGCTGGGGAGCCCACTAGCAGTCCCAAATGCAGGGGAGGGGAAAGGTGAATTGTCCACCTACCCTTGCCGCTGGTCTCCGGGCTGCTCCGGTGGTCTCATCTTCCAGTTCTCCTTCGCAGCCTCCTCCCGTGGAGTCTCCTGGGGTCTCAGGTACCCCTCCTTCCGGCCCTCGTCTGCTGTATGCTCGCCTTCTTGCTTCTTTTTTATAATTTCTGCTAGAATCTGTCTTTTCTGCAGAGACACTCTGTCTGGCGGTGTTTCTCGTTCGCCATCTTGATCCTCCTCCCCTGAGTTCTATCTAGATTCTAGTTATGAGCCCTTTATCAGATGTATAGCTTGTGAAAATTTTCTCCCATTCTGTAGGTTCTCTGTTTGCTCTTGTGACAGGTTCTTTGGCTGTGCAGAAGCTTTTTAATTTGATCAGGTCTCATTTATTTATTTTTGTTGTTGTCGTGAGTGTCTTTGGGGTCTTCTTCATAAATTCATTGCCTAGGTCAATGTTTAGAAGAGTATTTCCAATGTTTTCCTCTAGAATTCTAGTAGTTTCACACCTTAGGTTTAAGTTTGTTCCCCAGCGTGAGTTGATTTTTGTGAGAGGTGAAAGGTGTGGATCTTGTTTCAGTCTTCCACATGTGGCTATCCAGTTTTCCCAGCACCATTTGTTGAATAAGGATTATTTTTTCCAGTGGATGTTTTTATCTGCTCTGTCAAAGATTAGATGGCTATATGAGGATTGTTGTATATCTGGATTCTCAGTTCTGTTCCATTGGCCTATGTCTCTGTTCTTGTGCCAGTCTCATGCTGTTTTAGTTGCTATAGCCTTGTAGTATAGCTTGAAGTCTGATAAACTGATACCTCCAATTTTGTTTTTATTGCCTAAGATTGCTTTTGCTATATGGGGTCTTCTCTGGTTCCATACGAAGTGCAAAATTATTTTTTCTATATCTGTGAAAAAATGATGGTGGTATTTTAATAGGGATTGCATTCACTCTATAGATCACTTTGGGTAGTGTAGACATTTCAACAATGTTGCTTCTGCTGACCCACATGCATGGTATGGTTTTCTACATGTTTAGGTCCTCTGCTCTTTCCTTACTCTGTGATGTATTTTAAAACATGAACTTTTCTTTTTTATGCATTATGCTTATTTTCATCTAAAGGGTGGTTCATGTTGTTAGTTCATCATATTGCACAAAAGGGAAGATCACTTTTGTCCTTTTCAGTAGTAGATCTTTGTTCCCCTTCCAATATCAACTTCTTTTTTTTAATTTCATAATTTATTTTTTGACAGGAGATTACCCATCATCTCTGATAGTTTAATAATTTGTTAGAGTTGCAAGTAATAGTTTTAAAATCTCTTACGTATCTATAGTTATAGCTCCTTTTTATTTCTCATATATTTTAACACACACCCTTCCTTTTCTTTAAGGATTCTTATACAGTCTATATTATTGATATTTTCAGAGAATCAAATTTAGATTTATTCATAATTCCAGTAATTTATATTTAATTTGATTCCTTATACTTTTTTTATCTTACTAATTCCTTCACCTATTTATTTTTACTTAATTTCTGTGTTTTCTTAAACTAACCAATAAGTTCTTCTACTTTCAGATTGTAGTATTTAATAATGAAATATTTCCACACATTTCCCCCTCCTTGCAGCTGTGACTGAATCCTATACATTTTGTTACAAAGAACTTTCCTTATGTCTTTTTAGATGGTTTATTATATCCAGTTTGATTTTCTCTTTGACTAAAAATAACAGTGTGTTTCTTAATTCCCAGGTAGTTAAGGTTTTTGGTCCCACCTGTGTCTCACCCAGAAGCTTACAGTGTGAGCTTCGAGCCTCTGTTGAGTGCATGGATGGAGGAGGAAAAGCTCTTGGGAGGTGTTCACGCAGCATTTCCGACCCCTCCAGGATGGTAGATCTGTGAGTTTAGTGCAGGTGTCAGACTTGGGAACATCAAGGCTGGCAGGAAGGAAGGACCCACGCACTGGCAAAGGGACCACGCCCTCGGCAATGGTCCTCTGTCCAAATGAGCTTTCAAAATTTTTGTTACATGCTGCTTCTCTGGGTGCCTGGGTAAGCAATTTCCTCACTTATAGCTCTAGGGGATAATCTACTCACTATCTGCCTCCTCCTCCTCAACATTCTGTAGAATCTTCAGTGAGGTGTTTCTTGAACCTCCGCATGGATCTTCTGGGCATCTCTCAAGATCTTGCTTTGGGTCCCTGCTTGGGTCATTGTTTTCTTCTACCCTCATGGAGCCCTTCCTGGAGATTCTTTCCTGCACAAAACCCACAAATCTACCATCCTGTAGGGGATATAAATGCTGTGTAAACACCTCCCAGGAGATTTTCTTCCTCCATCTGTGCACTCAACAGATGCTAGAAGCTCCATTGGAAGGTTCTGGGTTAGGTACAGGTGGGGTTCAAACCTCCAATCCCCGGAGCCCATAGAACTCAAAGCTCAGCCCTGGCCCCCTCCTCACTCTGCTTTTCCCTCCTGCATGATCAGTGAGTTTGGGGACCACTCTATAGGTGAGTTTGACAATTTCCTGGGAGAACATTCTTGGAGAGATCCAGGAGACAAGGTGACAACAGACAAGTCAATCCTCACCCTGACTGTCTCTCTGTCCCCTCATATGTGAGAGGGGCCCTGGCACATGGGTGTTCCTGCTACCCCAGGAAACCCTCCCCCCAGAGCAAAAGAGCAAAGAGAGTGATGCAAGATGTGACCTGCGGTCACTATACCACCACTGTAGGCTACAGCCGTCCTAGGAAGAACAGGGAGGTCCAAATCAGGGACAGCAGTTGGCCCTCTCCACTCAGGGAGCTGGTGCCCCCAGTCAGTTCCTGCCAGCATGAGCTAGGGTGGCAAGAGCCTCGGGCCACCTTCACTACCACCCGACATAGTTGTCTGCTCCACCAGACCATGCTGCTTGTGTCTTTCCTGGTGGGAAGTTTTCTCCAAGAGGAAGTTGGTACATTCAGAGAAGACCTGTTTTGTCTCATGGTATCACATCCCCTATATGCTAATGGCACAAAAGCTGGGGCACAAAAGTTCCTACAGTTCATAATAGATGTGTTTTTTCTCATTAGTGCTGGTGGCTTTTGTGTATGGGGTGCTGGGGTGCAGGTAAGGGGCCAGTGTTGCTCTACCTGAGCATGGCTCCTACAAGGGACAGGCATGGAGGAGCGTGACAGTGGCTTGGAGACCCACCCCCACAACAGGGTCCCTTGTTGTACCTTGTTTTCATAACCTGGTTATTACAGAGAGTCTTCGGGACTGTCAGACCCAATGGAGACCCCACCCCGGTGTCTGGCTCACCTTGATTTCCTGGGTTTTCCCTCTGTTGTGAACTTTGTGCAGTGATAGGGGATGGGTTTCCAGAGGCTTCTTAGGGCTGAAATTCCCCTGGGGCTCTAGGGATGTGGGAGCCAAATAGCCTCACATGCTTAAGTGCACCTGGAAGTTCTGGGGGTGGGGGCGCTGGCCCTGGGTTCAGAGACAGGAGAGATCTGGCTCCCCTGGATGTCGTAGTAGGGAACAGATGACTTTGCCCACTGAAGGCTGGTATAGATCTGGGCCCTTCTGACACCTCTGGGCTCAGCCTAGATACCAGGAGCACCCCCCATTCATTGTCCATGTGCGCGTGGAAAGTATCCACCATGTAACTATTCTCATCATATTAACAATGGCTGCAAACATCCCAGAGAGCCCTGTATATATACACAGAACCTAGGGTGTCTGTTTCTCTGGAGAAACCTGACAAATACAGGGTTGTCTTTAGAGTTAATGGGTTAGTACATGTAATACTTTTAGAACAGGGCAGGCCTGGGTAGCCATGCTGGCAGACACATGTCTGGGTTCAGCTTCAAGGATGCCTGTGCTCTCTTGCTCTTTAAACACACACCCAGGATATTGGAAATAGCATCAGTAAAAGAACAAGTGCTGTTTGAGTCTGCCCCCAAAAGTCAGGCACTCCTGGAGGTGGTCTGGCAGGAAGTTGCAGGCTGCTCCCATACATTCTGCTTGCAATGATTGTTAATGTTGTGGCCCCAACAATCACTGCACCCCCAACTGGAAGCTAAAAATTGGCAGACAGCACCTTGGGCAGAATCTGAGCTTCTAGAATCCACCTGCAGCTTCCTGATAGAGAGGATCGGAGCTTCCTCTAGAGAGATCTGGGTTTTTACCAGTAGAATGGAGTCCATTAGAATCAGCTCTTGGACTGATAGTGGAGGGGCACTGTCATGTGAAATGTGATGCCCAGTGCAAGGCAATACAAATAGTATTGTCCTAAGAGGACTCTCCCATGCTTCTGAGGGACTTATGAGAGGGCTTTGGCCATTTGGATAACAAACAATGTCTGAACCAAAGATGGCCTAGTTTTTTCTCTTAAGATAGCTGAGGATATGAAATTCAGATTCAAGCTGTACACCTGCCACATTCAGCAGAAAACTGCTAACACAGGCAGCTGATGAGCAATCGGTTCAAATCAGCAATCGGTTCATCATGCCAAGCTTTCTGGTCTTTGGAAGTGGAGAGCCTGAGACTCGAGTGCAGAGTCCTGATAGTTTTGTGCCATCTACACAGGCTTATCCTACGTGAGACCAGACAATAGCCACAGTTGCCTGGATCTCGGGTAAAGAACATCTTTCTCAAAATTTTCATATCCTGGGACGAGATTCCATTACAGGACATGTGAAAGAGCTGGGGCACAAAAGTTCAAGAACACTCTGATCTCCAGAAGAGGGTCCACACAGCCAGCCTAATTTATTGAACATGTGAGCAACATGGTCTGGGCAGAAAAGTCAATGAGGCAACAAGGTGTGTAGCGTCCCCCCAGTTGCCCCTGCTTTCTTTCTGTGTCCTGATGGAAAATCACAGAATGCCTTGACTGCTCTGTGACCCAGCCAGCTGCCGCTTTTCCCAGTAGGCTTGAACCAAAACTAGGGCCTTGAAAGTTCGCAGGCACTGATCAAGGTATCTAGGTTGTTGCCCAAAACACTGAAAGAATCTGGCCCCTGCCTTGAGCCAAATTTCATAAACCATCATGTAAACTGCATACCTGACCCCTTGCTGTGGACGCACCTGGGTAGAACAGCCCTTTTCTCCAGCCTGGAGGGTGCACTGCAGCCCGCTCTGTGTAGTTCCACTAACACATGGTTTGGACTGATCACTCTGCTGTTCAGTGCTTCTTTCTTTGGAATCCAACTGGCCCCATCTTGGGACTGCTTGGCACACTCCCTTGCGAGAATTCCCCTACTGCTGCTTTTGGGGTGACTCCCAACAGCAGGAGTGGGTTTGGCTGGATAGAACAACAACTGAAAAATAAATCATGGATCTTCACACGCTGCCCCCCCCCCCAATTCATAGCCATGTCAGCCTCCCCAAGGATGCGTGTCCATTTCCATTGTCTGTCTCCAGCCAGAGTGGAGCAGTCCCATGTTCCTCCTACACCTCCTTGCATCTGGATGGGACAGGGAGGGCTCTGGGCTTGGCTGCTGTGGCTACCACACGAGGCTCTGCGAGGTCTGCAGGATTCTTGCCAGCTCCAGATGGACGTTATTCCCTTAGATGCTGTTATCCCACCTGGACCGCAGCCTGTGAAGGCCACAGGAGGCAGTCTGGAATCTGTGTGGCTTCACTGGGCATGGACATATCAAGCCCAGAAGCAGTAGCACAAAGCTCCATCACTGTAGTGCTGAAGACAAGTCAGATGGCAACGTGTTTACAGATGAAGACACTGAGATACAAAGAAGGGTCAAGCAGAGCCAGGACTTAAAGGCGGGTGTTCAGACTTCAGTCTCTGAGTGACGGAGGCCTCCTATACCACCCCCCTTCTCCCAGAGTTCCATGACGAGGTAAGGGTGGGTCTCTTTCAGGGCTTGGTAGAGTCGATCTTTGCAGGCCTGGTCCCAGGACTGGCTGAAGCTGAACAGCTTTCGCATCTGGCACGGCCTGGTGGCCTCGGCCCGCACCTGCTCATACTGCTCCTCGCTCAGCACCTGTCCATACAGCTTGTCCAAGACAGGGTCCACCGATGTCACTCGTGCCACCAGCTGCTCTCGATGCCGGTCTATGAAGTGCAGCAAGGCTGGGATGTCCGGGGATAAAGGTGAGGCTGGCAATGAACAAAGAGGGGCTCCCACCATATACTCCATCTCCAGACCCCACGTCCAGCCCTTTTATCTCTCCCCGCTGCATCCCTGGCTTCCTCCTCCCTCTGGAAACGCCTTTGACCATTTAAAGGCATCTCTGCCCTCCCTCATGTCGAAATCTAGCCGGGTATTCTGCCAAAGCAGGGCATAGTAGTGGGGATAATGAGAGGGGCATTTGAGGTTGTTGAGTGGGGGGTTCTAAGACTTCTATGGGTAGAAACTAGGGGGATGGGGAGGGGTCTGCCCCAGGCAGGCACCACTCTCCAAATCCTGATCCTTGTAAGCTTTGAAATGATAGAGTCCCTTCTGCTCCCTCTCCCCTCTTCTCACCAGGACCAGATAGTTCACCCCAGAACTCTCACTGGCTCTTGTGCTCCCTAAGAGCTGATACTGACCTATGGGGGCTAGAGGGGCCAGGGTAGGTGCAGGTCTGAGATCTCCTGGAGGAAAACAGAGATAAATGAGCATCTGTTGCAGCAGTAGTTATTAACACACGTGATACACCTCCAAGCTCCCACTCACTTCTGAGATTCTTTGATTCAGACTCTCTTCCTTATGCAATTAGGCAAACTGAGGCCCAGAGGCTATGAACATAGACCAATAAAGAGGGAGAAGTCATCAGAATGGGCAGTAGCAATTTCTCCCACACATTGCAGACTCAGTTTTATCCAGTCCTTGGCTGAACAGAATCCCTGGTGGAGAACTAATCAAATCCCTTGCTAGGTAAAGCTTAAACTATTTGATATCTCCTTATTCTGAGTAGAAATCGAGTTTCCTGTCCTTTTTTGGCCCTGTAGACTGGTACAGACCCAATAAATGTGTTCTGGATTTGGATATTGAAATAAAGAATCAAGATCAAGCAATCTTAGCACATGGGAAGAATGAGTGAATTTGAATGGGAAAAGCAAATAACAAGAAAAAAAGAGAGAGAGTAGAGACTTGAAACATTTTTTGCAAAGGAGAGAAAGGCGGAGTTCACTGCAGTTCGTGTGAACAAGGCCTGAGAGTCTGAGAAGATCCCAGGTTCAGTGTGACCTCACAGTGCGGGACGGGGGCACAAGGAGAGGGGAGTTCAGGCTGTGGTTCAGGGAGCACAGGGTCCATTTGGATGGGGGGAGGAGCGTGTTCCAGAGCCTGTGGGCTGACTGCACAGTCTGAGAGTCAATCCTGATTCATTTCTCAACTGGAGAATCTACTGTGCATGGTGGCAGCAAAGAATTTAAAGACCAAAATAGAGGAGGAATGATGGAAGGGACTGGAGATGTTTAACTCCTGTAAGAGGAGATATAAGAGAGGACATGATCACATCAAGAGTCCGATGGGTTTTCCCGTGGGGAAGGAGATAGACTTCTTCTGTGAGCTCCAACTGTCAGGAGGAGGATATTCACTTATTATGAGGAAAAAGAATAATATTACTGCTATTTATTAATGACCATGGCATGAGGCATGTACAAGCATCAGTTTATGTAAACTTTTTAAATTTTTTAAAAATCGATTCTCTTTATTTTATTTATTTTGATTTTTTATTTGATAGTATTACGGGATGATTCCCTCTTGTATACCTGGAAATACTGAATGGTCCAGGGTAGAGTATCTGATATTGCCAAAATTGGCTGAATTGGCTGAACATTCCTATAAGTTAGTCATTATGATCCTCATGTTATAGCTGAGGAAGCCGAGACTGGAACGAATTAAGTAATTTTCCCAAGATCACCCACGAAGTAAGTGCAAGAATGGGATTTGAACCCAGGTCTGACACTGGAGCTGGTTAGTTCTCCACCTGTGGATGACAGAAGCCACGACTGAGTAAAGCCCACCATGTTTCCATCACACTGTGAAACCTGTTTGTGGCAGTTCAAGAAGCAGCTCCGTTTTTATGACAGCTGACATTTGTCTCTAGAAGGAACGTTTGGGGCATTGGGTTCTTAGCGTGTTGGTGGTGGACTAAGGCTGTAAGAGTTCTACATTCCTGAAAGTTAATTATTTGATTCTTTTTAAATTTTTTTAAAATCAATTCTCTTTATTTTATTTATTTTGATTTTTTATTTGATAGTATTACGGGATGATTCCCTCTTGCATACCTGGAAATACTGAATGGTCCAGGCTAGAGTATCTGATATTGCCAAAATTGGCTGAATCCAGACAACCACATAACCATTCAGTTCCTATTCTTTCATCCCTCATCCAAGCTGTCATGAGAAGCTTTGCCAAAAGCCTTGTGGATGTCAAGATGTGTTAATTCAAGGGTAGTGTGGAGACACCATGGTGCACAGGGGAGAGCACAGGGCTTAGAGAGTCAGACTGACTTGAGTTTATATTCTGGTCATAACAACACTTATGTCACCTAAAAAGCCACCTAATTTCCCTGGGCTATTTCTTCTCATGAATAAATTGTGATAATGTACACTGTCACACATACACGCACACACGTTCACTGACTTTCCTTCTCCCCCAACCTCTGGGCACCCTGGACTTGTCCTGGTTTTACCTGGTTTCACCAAGGCCTTCCATACCACAGTCCCATCTTTCTTGTTTCTCATTTGCAGCCTGATCCCCGACCCCAAGTGGTCAACGTAGATCTCTGAGAACAGCTGGGGTTCTCCACAGCTCCGATAGCAGAGCTCCAGTTCCTGAAGAGACAAAGAGTCACCATCCTGTTCATCCTGCAAGTGAGATCCTTCCCACATCTGACAGCACCTTGGCCCTGTTTCACCCCATAGGGACACTCCAGTAACCTCCTGTACTGAAATCAGTCACCACGACCAGACTCTGCTCTTTTTCCAATATTCTGCAAATGCTGAATCAGAAGGACGAGGACACAGCTGGTACCTCATGGATAAGTCAGGACTCCTCCTTAAAAGTAGTGCTTATCCGTCCTAAGCCAGATCCTTCTTCCTCCACCTCCCCCGTCTTGAATCCAAACCCTAATTGCTCCATCCCAATGCCTGTCTTCCCTATCGATCCTAAACTTGACCTGCTTTTAATTAACAGGAAATTTATATGCGTCCCCTCTCCTGAGTCATACCCAAGACAGAACTCTTTATTCCCAACTGTCTTCTAAACATGCACCTTCTCCTATTTCCACAACCTTGGTAAATATTTCCAAATTAGGGATCATCCTTAACTTCTTCCCATCCACATCCAATCCCCCAAGTCCTGTTAGCTCTACCTCCAAAATATACCCTGAATCCATCAACTTTTCTCCATCTCAAGGCTACCTTCCTAATCAAGCCACCTTCAACTCTAGCCAGTAGTATTGCAATAGCATTTGTTTTTCTGAGATGAGGTCTTGCTATATTGTCTAGGCTGGCCTTGAACTCCTAGGCTCAAGTGATCCTCCTGCTTCAGCCTCCCACGTCCCATACTGGAACTACAGATGTTCCTCAGTATGTCTGGCTTTGGAACAACCTTTTGACTTGTGTTTCTCCTTCCACTCTTGTCTGCTTATCACCCATTCTCACCCAGCAGCCAGAGGCATCTTTTTCAAAGTAAATCAGGTCTTATATTACCATGTAAGACCCTCCAAGGGGCTTGCCATTGCACTCAGATCAAAATCCCAACTCCATATCAGGAACAACTGGGACAGCGAGCCCTGAGAGACTCTGCATCTGATCCGACACATCTCTTGCTACATGCAACAAGCTCTGCTACACTGGCCTCTTTTTTTGTCATGTGCAAGTGTCAAGCTTGCTTCCACCTTTGTGTATCTGCCAGAAACGCTCTGCCACAAATGTCCACATGCCTCAACCCTTCTCATCACTGCAGTCTCATCTTCAGTGTCGCCTCCTCAGAGACACTTCTCCTGACCACTAGTGTAAAATAGCCTGAGTCACTCTCTTACAATGCTGTATTTTCTTCACAGCACATCATGGTACTTGGTCACTATGTCTCTAATTGTATATGTAGGTTTCATCCACCAGGATATAAGTCTTGGAAGAGCAGGGATGACTCTATCTTGTTCACTGAATTATCTCCACTAAAGACAGTGTTCACTTGGCACTGGGCAAATACTCGCTGAATGACTGAATTGTGTCTTTCTCTCATCCTTTGTTAGCAACTAACACAGCAGGAAAACTCCAAGATATTTATTGTTGGAGTCACGTTTCCCAACTCAAAAGATAAACGTCACTTCCTCCTAACTACTGGATATGTAGTCCCTCTGGAGACATTAAATTGAAGATTACTAGATATCCTTCAGAAACCACGGAATTCAGAGATGGACAACTTTTGCCCCAGATGTTGGAATAAGATAAATTTTTTGATGCTTCAACACTCTTTCCTGTCCCTTTATTACTGATCTTCTTCCATTATTCTGAAACACTAATATGATACACTAATTCTGATACCTTCTGAAACACTAATATGATTTCCCTTATCTTCATCCTATATTTCTGACTCCCTGTGGTTTCCTTCTACCATGTAAGGAAAAACAAACCTCTCTTGTATGTATTCCCAGACCCAGCTACTGCTCTGAATTTAACTGATTGCTGGATCTGTCATCCCCCACCTTACAATGCAGGCAAACATTTATTAGCTAGTCAAAGTGGAATTTTCCCTGCAACAAATACTTCCTGTTGACTTACACTTGTTGTAAGTAGAATAATTTGTGACTAAGGAAGAGAACACTGCATCTCTCTGGCTTTCGTAAATAGTCTCAAAAGCATGTTGGTGGTATAGTGGTGAGCATATCTACCTTCCATAAATAGACCAAGCCAGATTCTGAGTATGTTTTATTGACTGGTTTCCATAATCTAGGGCCCTGGTTTGGAGACCTGTTACAAAGGCTGATCATCCTTTTGTTTTTGATAACTGCCTATGTTACAGTTGGTCAATGTACCTTGTCCTGAGTCTTAAATGCTGCACAGCTGTTGTGATATCAGATGGTTCAAACACTCATCTCACAACAAAAGGAGAAAGAAAGAGGATTAACCCTGGTTCATCTACAGACCACCATTCAGTAAATGCTTTTCTGATCTTATGCAGCAAATGTGGGCCATTATGAATATTTGCATATCAAGGATTAATGCCCAGGGGCCTGACTTCATCTGCTTTTCACCCTAAGGGTAGACTGAGAAAGCACAAAAAACAGCCCTGACCACCCCCCCCCCAAGGGATCTGAGGCTCCCAGCTGGACCTCAGTGTTATCACAAACTCACTGAGGGCACTGCTGTGTTGTTGTTTGGTCAGAAACACACAATCTCAGAACATCCATTACAGACAGGTCACTGGGCAGCCCAGCAAATGCCAAACATCCCCCTGTACTAAATGAGTGACTGCTACTTGTTTAGCAATTACAGCTTTGTGCTTGTGTTAGTTTGTCCTCCCCAGAGAGATTTCTTGAGCTTCCCAATAGGATTGCTCCTGTTTGCTGAAAATGGCCATTCTAGAGCAAATGTCCATTTCCTTAAACCTTCCTCCAAATTACCCTACCAATGGTCAAATCCTACGGCAAGTTCTAACACCCTTTTACTGAAACGCCCCATGATTTCCCTGCTGTGTGTGCCCTGACGCAGCGAGTGACAGACGCAGCGTGTTGGGCTGCAGGTGTGTTCCTGTGGAGCTTCACTGGAGGCCAGTGGCTCCCACAGCCCAGGCACTTCCCAGTGACCCCAAGTCAAACACCATCGATCTCCACATCCTGAGTGTGGTCCTCCCTTACTGGCCTCCAATCTCTGCAGCATTCCCACTCACCCCCAATCCCATTCCCTTTTTATCCAATCATAATTTGCTGGCACGCCCCTGGACAGCTCTGAGACCTGTCCCACAGGGATTCCAGAGCACACCCTGATCTCAGACAGGGGCAAACACTGGGATGCTCACCTCAGGGATTATCTCCAGATTTTCTGAGCCAGACACAGTGTAGCGAGAGCCCATATACAGTGAGGTCATCGGGGGTGGCTTGTGTATTCGCACAAACTGGAAATTCTTTTCTTCATCATCGATGGCCTAAGGAACATACAGAACAATGATTAAGGGAGGATTCTGCCCCATGGGATCGGGTCTGAATAGGGGAGATGGTGTTTCTGTGTTTGTGTGTTTGTGTGTGGAGGGGCTACCACCCCTGCATCACCCTGTCCCCCAAGCACAGCCACACAGTCAGCCCCACACTGGGCCTGTGCCATCCTCAGAGTGGGGACAGAGTCATTGCTGCAGAAGAAGTGAGAATGGGGAAAGGCTGGTTTTAGGCACAGAGCTCTGCCATACTTTGACTCCCAGAAAGTCAAACACTTGTGCAAAGATGAGTGATGGAGCAGTGAACCCAGCTGGGGAGACCTTGGGGAGTCAGGAGCCCAGCCTGTGGCTGAGCAGGGGGCAGGACTATTTGCCCACATAGAGGTTCCCTCTTACAAGACACTCATCCTAGTCGAGAACCTCTTTGGGGCCTCTTTGTCTGCATTTCATGTTTACCACCAGCCCACCCTGGCCCAGTCTTTCTGGCTCTTAATGTTACCTTCCGAATGGAGCAGTCACTGGGGATCATGTAGAGGTGGAAGGTGACTTCCCCAGGATGGAGGCGATGGTAGAGCAACACTGTGCAGGTGATGGGAATGAAGCTCAGGGGAACAGGTACCATTCTCATCAGAACTCCCAAGGGGGAGAAGCTGGGGTTTTCAAGCACGGCGTGATGTGGCTCCACCCTGGCTGGCTTCTCCAGGAGCATCCCCTCCTCTTTAAAGTGGGCCACTTGGAACAGGGAGATGTCCACATGGCCGCCTGTCAAAGAATGGAATAGAAAGGCATGGATTTAGTGTCCTCACTGAGTCAGGCTTGGCTGGCACAGAAGGATCCCAGGGCTTCGGCTCAGGGACCTTCTTCGGGGAACCCAGAGGGAGGGTCTCGTAGGTTTGACTTTAGGCAGGTAGAGAACAAGAAGGAAGGGACTGTAGGAAATGGAGTGACCAAGGGTAGCCTACATTGTCAAGTGGTCAAGGACCTTACACTGGCCATTCAGCATGCAAACTCCTCTTTTTGGGAAGAGCCACCTTCTCCAGCATTGTGTGGGGCTTGGCAGGGGACCAGCTGAGGCTCCCACTTAGGAAGCTGCTACTCCCTGGCAGCTATGACACACACATGTGGCCAAGACTTGGCTAAGTGGATGTCCCTAACCAGGACCTCCAGCCCAGAGGGTCGGATCACAGATGAAGAGACAGAGATTATTTTGGCGGTGGCAGTGGAGTCAGACGCCCAGTGGCCCCATGGCAGGCAGATCCCACAGCAGCTGTGTCTGCAGCAGGGGTCTCTCCATATTTTTCTTGCTTTGATCTTGGTTGTGCCCTTGGTTTCTCAGCTTCATTGTGTCACTGTCTTTTTTCTTTTCTCCACTTAGATGTGTTGTAGAAGCTTTTGTTAAGTCAATGAGCTACTCAAGAAAATTCCAACATATTCCTTAATCAGACAGAATTGGTTTCTTTGACTTGAGCGTCTGACCAGTGCACCAGGTAAGGACGCTAAAGCCACAGGAGACAGTTTGAGTGATGAAGGCTGGTGGTGGAAGAGACACTGGCCTGCAGATGAGGAGTCCTGGCTCCATCACTGCATTGCCTGGCAACTGCTGTGATGCAGGTTGTTTCTGGGTAACAGGACATCCAGAGAGCTGAACAAGGCCCTAGTGGGTGGAGTACCAGTCAGAATGTCACTAAATGATGTTAATCCCACAAGGAGCTATGGAAATCGTTACTTAAGTTTTCTCATTTATTAATTGCAGTTTTTGGATGAAAAATAATGCCATAGTGGCATACCTCGTCTGAAACAATGAGGACAATTCTTCTATGACTATCACCAAACAATACAACTATTGCTTGCCACTGGTCGTGCAGGAGGGTGAGAATGCCCAGGGTGGTGCGGTGAGGTATACAAGGGCCCGGGATGAAACTGGGAGGCTGAAAGCTCTATGCCGTACCTCTAGTCAGAGGAAACTCACTGTGGAAAGTTGGTCACTCAACAGAGGACCTCAGCAATGACAGTGAAGAAGTGGCCAGTGCCCAAGTCCTAAACCAGACCTGTGACTGGCAGTGTGGTCATCGTTTCCAGGTCAACAAACAGCTTCAGTCCAGAGAGCAGGCAGCAGGGATTCCTGGAAGGGGCCCTGCCTGTCCCCAGGGATGGTGTCCTGGCTGGGGATGTGGACAGCCAGTTCATAGTGGCCTTCATGCATTTTGCCTCTTACTCTGGGTACAGAATCCAAAGGGAGTAATGTCTTATCTGACCACAGGATGAGGCCAAGAATTTGGTCTAAAAAAGGCTGATAGAATATGGGCTTGGGCATGGCTGGGGTGGGGTGGGGGTGTAGCTCTTACCCTGGGATAAATAGGACCTGAGTTAGTATCGCAGCTCTGGACAAGGATCTTCACTTCTCTGAGCTTCGGTTTCCTCATTGGGACACCAAGGGAAAACCAGAGTCCCTGACTCACTGGGTCATTGTGAACATCGAGATGATATTAATGTGTATGTTACCTTGTGTAGTACCTGGCACAGATTGTCCACTAATTGTTCATAGTTCTTCTTATTAGCCATGTCCCAGGAGCCATCAACGGACAGTGGCAGCAAAACAGTGACTTCACTCCTGTCCGGATCTGGCTGTCAGCCTGGCAGACTTAGGCTAGATTTCTGTGCACTTGGAGGTTCACCCAATTCCTTGGGCAAGTCCTGTTTCCTAGGCCCACCTGATGGATGTGTGAGACTGACCAGGGTGTGATCAGGGTGTCTCACCAAGGGAAGGGCCAGCTTGCCCACCTCTAGGAGTGGGATATGAGGGGCTCTGGAGCAGAGGCTAAATGCACATTTTGGCCCCTCGGGCCCTGTTGGTGCAGTCTGATAGCATGGTTTCTGTCTTGGCTGTATTCATTGCTCCATAGATTATCAGGAAGAATAATCCCAGCTGTTGTCTTAGCAGTCATGCCCTCCCCCAAGCCCGTTTTCTTGATGAAACTCGACAACCCCTAGAGCTGTCTTGCTCCTCCATCTGCCACCCAGCTTTAACAAGGAAACTTGCCTAGGGAAGTCTGCATGGCCCTGTCTGTTAAGCCAGGCTCCCCAGGACTCCTGAGGCCCTGCCCTGTATCTCCCTACCCTGTGCTTTCCTCCTGGTGTGCAGCTTGAATTCTCTACTGAGCTTCTGTGGCCTGTATAAACAAGACTTTCTGGGTACTGGGCAGTTCCTTGCTTTGTATTTTTCTCATTCCATTTTTTTCTTTCTACTAGTTTCTAAATGGTTTTTATTATGTATATGCTTTGATTTGTTACCCTAATATTTTAATGTGCATACTTAAAGTCTAGATTAATACCTTTACCTCAAGGTGATACCAAATATATTGAACTGAACTACTGGAATGACAGTATAAATTAACATAACAACTAATATACATATTAAAAATGAAATATATATCCCCTTTCACTACTTAACTAATGTGTACATATCATGAAAGTGCTTACAACTGAAGGAAGCTGTACACAGATGGTTTATCCAGTCATTCTATCAACAATTAAAGGAAGCTCCTGCCTGAGTCCTGATTTGACATGGGGAAGCACATCAGATTCTTCTAACTTTCTCACTATATGTTAGACATTAGGTCCCTGGCACTCAGCATTGTCTGGGTTTCATCTGATGCCAGGGCTACCCAGGTGGCCAGGGGTGGGGAGCCTGTGCTGCAGCCCTTGCTCACAACAGTGCTCTGTGTGCCCCCATCTGCTGCCTCACAGGCTCCGACCCTCCCGCCTGCCCTGGGCTGGTCCACGGCAAAGCTGCCTCGGCCACCCCTGCCACGCTGCACCGCAGCCAACTGAATGATGTTGTTAGGTAGTGGGTGGTCTCGATAAGTAAAGAACTTTCCTTTAGTACCCTGTCCAGAAGCATTTCAGTATTTAAACCTGGACAGTAGTCCTGGTGCATCTGTCTGAAGGTCAGCCTTGCCTTCACCTCCTTCTGAAGTTTACCAAGATCATGGAATCCTTTAACACTCTTAGGTGCTGTTATTGTTCGTATTTATTTAGTTATCTCTCTCTATTAAATCCCCACATAGCAGACCTTAATATCATTGCTCTCTCTAGGCGATGTCGTGTTAGATTTACCCACATGTGTCTCAGGGGCTTTGCTTATTATTCCGTCTTACACCTCGGATCTTCCATGTGGGACCGTTTCCCTTGTGCCTGGGCTGCATCCTTTAGAATTTCCTTCCCTGAGGATTTGTTTGTGTTAAGCATTCTTGGTTTTGGTTTTTAGTTTGTTTTAAAATGTTTTATTTTATCCTTTCTTTTTTTTTTTTTTTTGGTTTTATTTTTTTATTTCAGAGTATTATGGAAGTACAAGCACTCTGGTTACATAAATTGCCTTTGCATCACCTAACAAGTGTGCCCATCCCCCAGACACTGGGCACAACATCCATTAGGTATGATCTCCTCCGCTCCCCAAACACCTGCCCAATACCCTGTGAATATTACTTCCCATATGTGTACATTAGTGTTGATCAGTTAGTACCATTTTAATGGTGAGTACATGTGGTGTCTGTTTTTCCATTTTTGTCATACTTCACTTAGGAAAATGGGCTCCAGTTCCATCCAGGATATTTTTATGGCTGAGTTGTACTCCATGGGGTGTGTGTGTGTGTGTGTGTGTGTATGTATATGTATGTATATACCACATTTTATTAATCTACTCATGTATTGATGGGCACTTGGGTTATTTCCAATCTTTGCAAGTGTGAATTCTGCTGCTATAAACATTCGGGTGCAGATTATCTTTTTTTCCTTTGGGCAGAGTCCAGTAGAAGGACTGCTGGATCAGATGGTAGGTCTACTTTTAGTTCTTTGAGGTATCATCATACTACTTTCCATAGAGGTTGTACTAGTTTGCAGTCCCATCAGTAATGTATGAGTGTTCCTATCTCTCAGCATCCATGCCAACAGTCATTGTTTTGGGACTTTTTGATAAAGGCCAGTCTCACTGGAGTTAAGTGATATCTCATTGTGGTTTTGATTTGCATTTCCCTGATGATTAGAGATGTTGAGCATTTTTTTATGTTGGCCTTTTTTTATCTTGGCCATTAGTCTATCTTCTTTTGAAAAGTTTCTGTTCATGTCCTTTGCTGACTTTTTAATGGGGTTGTTTGCTTTTTTTTCTTGCTGATTTTCCTGAGTTCTATACGGATTCTAGCTATCAGCTCTTTATCAGATGTATAGAATGCAAATATTTTCTCCCATTCTGTAGGCTGTCCATTTGCTCTAGTGATAGTTTTTTTGGCCGTGCAGAAGATTTTAAATTTAATCAGGTCCCATTTATTTATTTTTGTTGATGCTGTGATTGCTTTAGGGGTCTTCTTCATAAATTCTTTGCCTAGGCCGATGTCTGTAAGAGTTTTTCCAACATTTTCTTCTAGAATTCTTATGGTTTCATGCCTTAGGTTTAAGTCTGTTATCCACCATGAGCTGATTTTTGTGAGAGGTGAGAGTTGCAGATTCTGTTTCAGTCTTCTACATGTGATTATCCAATTTTCCCAGCATCATTTATTGAAAAGGGATTCTTTCCCCCAGTGTATGTTTTTGTCTGCTTAGTCAAAGACTACATAGCTATATGAAGATGATTTTATATTGGGTTCTCAGTCCTGTTCTATTGGTCTATGTCTGTTCTTGTGCCAGTACTATGATGTTTTGGTTACTATAGCCTTGTAGTATAGCTTGAAGTCTGGTAAATTGATGCTTCCCAGTTTGTTCTTTTTGCTTAAGGTTGCTTTAGCTATACAGAGTCTTCTCTGGTTCCATATGAAGTGCAGAATTATTTTTTCCAGATCTTAAGTTTTGGATATATGTGGCGCAGAGAATCTGCAGTTCCCGTCTCAGCGTCATCAGGAAGACACACTATCTGCCTTCATTTTCATCTTGAATTCTGCACATAGAGCCTTTTGGACATCCCTGGTTGTAACCACAATGACTTCCTCAAATCCAACACACTCAAGCAGGTTCAATGGGTACCAAATTAAAGGTTTGTTCCCAACTGGAAGCAGAGGTTTGGGAATGCTGGAAGTCAGGTCTGTCATCCAAGATCCCCCACCAACTGCCATCACTACTGCTTGAAATTCCATTTTTACAAACCGGGTCAGCCAGCTCGTGTGTGGCCTGGCAGGGCAGAAGCCGCAGCTTTACCTCAGGTCCCAGCACGCTGAACCACTCCCAGCGATCCCCACACCGCCTCTGACTGACCTATACTCTTCTTAAAAAATAAAATTAATTCTCTGTTTACAATTTTTGATTGGCAGTTTCATAGAGTGCATTGAAGATATAATTTCATTTTCTTCCACCTCTCATTGCTTCTACACAAAACTCAGTCATCAGCCTCATGGCAGTTCTTTCTAGGCAATCTGTCTTTCTCGCTGCAATCAGTACCTTCCATATACTTTGTTGTTCTGTAGTTTTACTATAGTGAGTACAATCTTGATGTCTTTCTCTTCCTTGTCTTCTCTCCTGCTTTGGATTTTTAGGTTTCTCATTCTGAAAAGTATCTTTCAACAACTCTAGAAATTTCTTGGAAATTAATAAATATTATAATATGTCTATGAATATTGAATCTTTCTCCATTCTCTCTATTAGATCCTTCTGGAAATCTAATTAGACGTATATTAGGTCTTCTCATGGTATAATCCATCTATGTTACTTATTATTCTTTAAAAATTTTAAAAAATATTTTCTGTCAATTTGATTCCAAATTTGGTTTATCATCGTTTTGCTTTTTGCTCATATATTTCAGACTAATTATTTTGTTGAGCTTGTTATACACACTGTTTTATGTTCTGTTTCTGATAATCCCAATGTCTGAAGTATTTAAGGGACTGTCGTACCTGTAGTTCCCACCAGCTCTCATTTATGGTGCCTTTGTAATTTATACTTTGTAATATTTTTGACTGTGAGCTTATTTCATGGAACTTTATCTGTGGGAAGTCTTGGAGGTGACAGAGGTTGGGATACACTATGACTACTGTCTTCTACTGGGATGCCTGTCTCTCATGGCTCCAGCTCTCAATACTGTCTGATGACACTGTGTCTTCTCCCTCCTGTAGGAGCAGTAATGGCTTCCCATGGTTGCTGGTCCCCAATGCTGGTGACCCCAACATTCCACGTTATTTCACTTTGCCCTAGCTTGTAAATAGTCTGGTCTTTGAAAAGTCTCTTCAAAAACCTCAATGGAGCATATCATCTGTTTCCTGCTGTGACCCTAAGTGATACATCTATATAAAGAGCACTGAATAAATGCTAGTTATTATTGTCATTGAGGAAATCATTTTCCATTCAGGGAAATTTTCAAGTAAGTGCAGGCAGAAATAATTATGAGGCTGGTGACATGAGTTTCAATAATGATATGTTCAGAGACAAGCAGAATGAGGAACAATCCCAGGCTCCACCTCCATAACCCTCTCCCCATCCCTCTAAGGAAGCCACAAGCCCCTCTCCCAGGACAGCATTGTCCCACACTCCTCTTCAGGGCCATTATTAGCCACCCGCCATCTTTCCCTCTTGTTTACCTTGGAGGTCCACAAAGTGAGGGAGGTGCACAGCTGCCACGGATCCCTCCTCAGCCTTGATGTCAAACAGAGGCCCTGCCACCATCCAGCTGTGCTGTGGGCTGGTCCCACGCAGGAACTGGTCCCAGGAACAGAACTCAATGTCGATGGTCACTGCCCCTCTCACCACAAAGCCGAGGCCTGTGTTGGGCCAGTAGTAGGAGCCAGACCCGGGGAAGTGAACTCTGGGAGGCAGAGGGAGAGGCAGACACTACATTACACAAACTCGCTGAGTACCTGCTGGACGCCAGACACTCTGCAGGGGCTTTTGAATATGGCAGAGCAGTTGCAAGCCCAGACTTCAGAGTCAGACAGATTTGGGTTTTAGTCCTGTCTCTTCTACTCTCGCACTGCGGATCCAGGAGCAAGTCACGTAACCTGTCTATTGTCAGTTTCCTCATCTCTAAGTAGGAATAGCAACAGCACCCATTTTATAGTTGTGAGGATACGTAACTAATGCACGCTGGCAGCTTGTACAAACCTGGGGGAAGTTAGCTGTTTCTATCATGATGACACTACAGTGATGATGATGATGAAATAGGCAAGTGTTCTTATTTTTAAAGGGCCATTTACCAATAATAACACTCTACATTAGAAAATTTTTTTGTTTATTTGCTTTTTTTTTTAGAGACAAGGTCAGTTTCTGTCACCCAGGTTGGAGTGCAGTGGCACAATCATAGCTCACTGTGACCAAAAGTAATACTCCCACCTCAGCCTCCTCAGTAGCTAGGACAACAGGCACCACCACCGCTGGGTAAATTTTTAAAAATTTTTGTGTAGACAGAGGGATCTTTCTGTGTTGCCCAGGCAGGTGTCAAAGCCCTGGTTTCAAGTGATCCTCCAATTCAGCCTCCCAAAGTGCTGTGATTATAGGTGTGAGCCACTGTGCCTGGCCCACATGTTAATATTAATGGCCAACCCTGGGAGCTGAAAACAACGCTTTACAGATATCTTAAATGACTCTCCCACGTGGCAATGGTGGGATCCTGGGATGCCAGATTCTGTAGGTGTGAGATGGGAGTCACACTATCTTCCAGCTGAGATAATGTCTGTGACAGTGTTTGTCACCAAACACTGAGTGGTAAGGTGTTATATAAGCGATCAGGGTGGCCTTGGAAAGCAGGGCCACCATCTTCATTTTAGGGTTCTCAACTACTACTACTACAGTCCTTAGCATGTAGTAGCTAGTAATAAAATGGGAGCATATAGATTGAAAGAGATTTAAATGAGATTTAAGAGACATAACAAATCAAATACAATGAGTGCACACTGTTTGGATCCTGATTAGAACAAACCACCTACAAGATCATATTTTATATAATTTATCAAATCTGAATTTGGACTGAGTATTACGTAATATGAAAGCTTATTGGCAGCTTTGTTAGATGTTATAATGGTAGTATGGTTATGGAAGAAAAGGTCTTTATTTTTATTTTTGAGATGAATAATAAAATATTTAAGGATAAAATCACCAAATGTCTTGAATTTAAAGTATCATAAAAATTTCTGTGACATAGGAAGTATGTGGAAAAAATAAAAATAGCAAAAGAGGTCAAACTCTCACTCTTTGCTGATGACATGATATTATACCTAGAAAACCCCAAGGATTCAACCAAGAGACTCCTTGATCTAATAAATGAATTTGGTAAAGTCTCAGGATACCAAATCAATACACAGAAATCAGAGGCGTTCATAGACGCCAACAACAGTAAAAGTGAGAACCAAATCAAAGACTCAATTCCCTTCAAAATAGCAACAAAGAAAATAAAGTACCTTCAAATATATTTAAGGAGGTAAAAGACCTCTATAGGGAGAACTATGAAACACTGAAGAAGGAAATAGCAGAGGACGTAAACAGATGGAAGAATATACCAGCTCATGGGTCGGCAGAATCAACATTGCTAAAATGCCTATACTACCCAAAGTGACCCAGAGAGTCAATGCAATCCCTATCAAAATACTATCATCATTTTTCAAAGATAGAGAAAAATAATTTTATGCTTCCTATGGAACCAGAGAAGACCCCGCATAGCAAAATCGATCCTAGGCAATAAAAACAAAATAGGAGGTATCAATTTACCAGACTTCAAACTATACTACAAGGCTATAGTCATTAAAACAGCTGCGAACTGGCACAAGAACAGGGACATTGACCAGTGGAACAGAACAGAGAACCCAGATATAAAACCATCCTCATATAGCCAACTGATCTTCGACAAACCAAACAAAAACATACACTGGGGAAAAGAATCCTTATTCAACAAATGGTGCTGGGAAAACTGGATAGCCACATGTAGAAGACTGAAACAAGACCCACACCTTTCACCACTCACAAAAATCAACTCACGCTGGGTAAGAGACTTGAACCTTAGGTGTGAAACTATTAGAATTCTAGAGGAAAATGTTGGAAATACTCTTCTAGACATTGGCTAGGCAAAGAATTTATGAAGAAGACCCCAAAGGCAATCACAACAGCAACAAAAATAAACAAATGGGACCTGATCAAATTAAAAAGCTTCTATACAGCCAAAGAAACTGTCAGAGAAAATTTTTGCAAGCTACACATCTGATAAAGGGCTGATAACTAGAATCTATTTAGAACTCAGGAAAATCAGCAAGAAAAAATCAAACAACCCTATCAAAAAATGGGCAAAGGACATGAACAGAAACTTCTCAAAAGAAGACAGAATAATGGCCAACAAACATATGAAAAAATGTTTAACATCTCTAATCATCAGGGAAATGCAAATCAAAACCACAATGAGATATCACTTAACTCCAGTGAGAATGGCCTTTATCAAGTCCCTAAACAACAAATGCTGGCGTGGATGCGGGGAGAGAGGAACACTCCTACCCTGCTGGTGGGACTGCAAACTAGTTCAACCCCTGTGGAAAGCAATATGGAGATACCTCAAAGCGATACAAGTAGATCTACCATTTGATCCAGCAATTCCACTACTGGGCTTCTACCTAAAAGATCAAAAGTCACTTTATGAAAAAGACACCTGCACTCGAATGTTTATAACAGCACAATTCACAATTGCAAAGCTGTGGAAACAACCCAAGTGATCATCAATTCATGAATGGATTAATAAAATGTGGTATATGTATACCATGAAATACTACTCAGCTTTAAGAAAAATGGTGATATAGCACCTCTTGTATATTCCTGGATAGAGCTGGAACCCATTCTACTAAGTGAAGTATCTTAAGAATGGAAAAACAGCACCACATGTACTCACCAGCAAATTGGTATTAACAGATCAACACCTAAGTGGACATATAGGAGTAACATTTATTGAGTGTCAGGAGGGTGGGAAGGGGAAGGAGGGGACGGGTATATACAACCATAACGAGTAAGATGTGCAACGTTTGGGGGATGGACATGCTTAAAGCTCTTACTCGAGGGGGTGGGGGGCATGGGCAAAATATGTAACCTTAACGCTTATACCCCCATAATATGCTAAAATAAAAAATATATATATGCATATATATAATTTTTCTATGACATAAGAAGTATGTGGAAAAAATAAAAATAAAATATTTTGAAAATAACAGAAGTAGGAGAAAGTGAACAGTTGAAATGAATTTGGGAAATCTGTGGTTGAGGTTTTGTAATGAGTATATGGAAGTTGCCTGCACTCTTTATTTTTGTATATATTTGAAAATTTTTGTAATAAAATGTATTTTTCCATAGTAAAACAGGCACACCCAGCATCTCAGCCTGTCCCTGCCTGCTGGCTTGGCAGGAGGAGGGAACCCAACAGGGGCTGGCTGGGGTGTTGACTGTGCGAGGGGATGCAGTGGGGGAGTGGGGCAGGGGAGGCGGCCTCAGACCAGCACAGCCCCACACTCACCGGAACAGGCTCCTGTCTTTGTCCACTGCCTCAGTAGCCACAGGCCCCGTGGGGCCCCAGAAGTCATCTTTAGTCCCCAGAGGCTCCATGTACAAGTCCCTTGGAGAGGCAGGAGAAGACAGACAGAAGGGTTCCACTTTCTGTGCTACCTGTGGGCAGCTACCCTCTGGAACAGTGGCCAGTTCTACATTTTCCCACCTAGTGTCCCCCAGCCCCCTTCCCTGGGCCCTACAGGGCCCTTCCCAAGGCTGCCCTGTGGCAAGGAGTGTCTGCAGTCTCCCCCCTGCTCCTGGGGCTGCCTGCCTGCTTTCTGTGGAGGCCCACTCCCTGCCCCCAACAGCCTCTGCCTCTGCTTCCCCACTGGTCCATGGTTGCTCTTCCCAGCATGCCCCAGGAGTGCCGGCTGAAAGAGGAACATGGCTTAGAAGATGGATGGGCAGGAATGGAGAAAGGATTCCTAGGCCTCCACAGCCCATAGTGGACACTGGGCACTGGTTCTGAATCTTATCCATGCCAGACGTTCTGGAGCAGGGCAACACCAGCCCCTGAGGCTGGGGGACAGGGAAGGAGAAATCCAGCCAGGTGCTAGGCACAGGAGATCATTCATGGGGCGGGGCCTTACTAGGTGGCAAATCTGCCCCATCAGAGACAAGGGATGGAGGGGATGACCTCCCCCACTCATCATGACTGTCCCAGCCTGGCTCCTTCAAACTACCTGATACTGGCTTCTACTGCTTGAGTGAGGACCTTTTATTAGTCATCTCTCCTCCATCCTGGCACTCATTAGGGGTCATCACACTTGGCTTCCTGGACACAGAGTTTTTCATTTTCCCTAAGTTTTTGGAGTAAGCTAGGGCTGTCTGCATGACATCCTCACTTAGAATTCAACTCTGCCGCATTTGAACTCAGGATAGGCCTCAGCCCACCCTATGGGCAGTTCTGAAGCTGGGATGGCCCTTTAGAGTGGACTGGAATTGGGACTAGAGACAGGGCCTTTGTACCCCAACATCTGTCAGTCGTGGGATGCAGGCTACCTCAGGAAGGAGGTGTGGCCTTGGGGAAGGGCTATCACTGGCAGGGACCATCCCTGCTGCCAGCCACCAGCAGCACTCCCATGGTCTCAGTGACCACCTGGGCTCTGGTCCTGGGGTTTCCTTCGCAGAGGTCGGAAATTTTGCTGGAAAGAGAGAGCCCTGGTTCCATTCTCACAGCCCTGGTATTCTGGGATTTCTCCAGATTTGGGATAGTTCTTGCCTTCTCAGGGCCTCTGTGTCCTGAGTCTATAACATGGGGTGAATCACGCCTTCTCTGCCTGTCGGGAGGCGCAGACAAGGCAGGAGGGGAAAAGTCCCTGCGCCTGTTTAGAGCCGTGCATTTGTCACCCTACCAGGGTCAGAGCTGTTCTCCCCTTGGGGAGGGGATGAGTCCAAGCAGGAGAAAGTTGTCCCTCTCAATCAAGTCCTGGGCTCCAGGAGGGAAGGAGGGGGAATCTTTGCAGGACCTCAGAGAACAAGCTCCCTGCGGAGCCAGGTGAGGTTTGACAACCATTGTGGCCAAGCTCTGAGGAGCCTCCAACATGGGGCAGATGGCAACAGCCAATATGCTCAGGGGGAAAGGCAGGGATACATAGGTGCTGGCCCCCGGTCATGGGATCCCCTGGTTGTAGTGGCCAGTTTCAGCTACAGCAGATCCCAAATGTAGACAATCTATTCCTGTTATGCTGCCTGGCTCCTCTTTTAGGTCTGGGAGTGGATGCAGGAGGCCTGGCTGGGGCAGCCCAAGGGCGCAGGACTCCTACACCCGGTCCAGAGCTCAGAGCAGGACCTGAGGGCTCTGTCAGCTCCCTGAGCATGTGGCCAAGCCTCTCAGGAGCTGCAGGGAAATGTTCAGCCAGAAATGGCCCATGGGCTTGTTTTCAGGGAGGTGGAATAAAGAGGAAGTGGCCCATCGGTGGTGTGGGGGTGACTACTGGGGGCAGGACGTTAACCTCCGGGGCCTGCAGGGTGGAATCGAGGGCGAGGGGCTCGCTCTGCTCCAGCCACACAGGGCTCTCCCAGCTCTCCAGCGCGAGAGCTGCTTTCTGTTCTGGGCCCTCTCCCCATGGGACCCCTCTGCCTGGATTCCTCTCTCCAACTTGGCCTGCACAGCCCCTATTTCCTTCAGGCCTCAGCCTGACACCACTTCCTCAGAGAAGCCCTTCTGGGCCTTAAATCTCATTCCATCCTCTCCCGGTGTTTCATTCTCATAATACCCCGTAATTCCCCTTTATACCATTCAACAGAGCTGATACTAACTAGTATACACATACTTGTGCATTCATAAGTGATCAACTTCTAGCTCATTCCCACTAGGGTTTAAGCTTCAGGAGGGCAGAGCCCAGGTCTATTTGCTCACCATCTTGTGCCCAGGGCCTGGCCCAGTGCCTACACATGAGAGGCATGCAGTGAATGAATGAATGAGTAAATGAATGCATGAAGTGCTGCCATGGAGTGGAGAGAAGCTGGGAGTCCCTTAGAACACACAGCCTCACTAGTTGTTATCATCTGATCATGCCTAACTCTCTTCCCAGCACTGTCCTTGTTCCTAAATACATTTTATTTGATTATAGTCCGTGAAGTGGGTGTGATACTCCCATTACACAGATGGAGAATCTGAGTCTCAGGGAAGACAGTGTCTTGCCCGAGTTGCACGTGTAAGTAGGTGGCAGAGCTGATAAGAAACCCAGGCAGACTGTGCATTTATCAGTCCCTCTTCCTTCCCTTATCCAATCCCTCTCCACCCTACCACTCTCCCTTCCCTGCCCTCTGCTCAGAAGGGCCCCACAGGGCCTTACCCCAGGAGCCTGAGTCGGCAGGTGGGATGCCACACCCCCTCGCAGAGCAGCCTCACGCCAAGGTCTCCCAGGTCGTTCTCATGCAGGTCGAGCTCCAGCAGGCTGGGGCTGGTGCTGAGCGCAGAGGCCAGGTCCTGGCAGCAGCTGGACGTGAGGCCACAGCTGACCAGCCTGCAGGAGAGAGACGTGGGCCCACAGCCACTGTCCTGAGGGCTCACTCTTCTGGGTAACTGGGGTCTGGCCTCCCTTTCCTGTAGCTATGGCCCTTTGGGGGCCCTGCAGTGACATTAAGGGAAGATAAAAACTTTCCTTTTGCAGCCAAAGAGACCCTCAGGATGCAGGCAACCTCCCTTCCCCACTCCTGTGTGATTCCCATAAATTCTGCCCCTCCCCGTATTAGCCTTGAGGAATGATTTACTTGATGTTCCACTTGTATACCTGGTCTAACTTAATCACATCAGCCCTGCCAAACACCCAGAGTCAGCTGCCATAGGGTGCTCTGGTGGGTCTCAGTATTAAGGGCATCTGCAGTCCCGGAGAAAAATGAGTGAGCTAAGAGAGGAATGGAAGGTGAGGGGGACTATGATGGCTTCCTTAGGAACTGAGGACCTAGCCTGGGCTCCCCATTACATGCTGGGTCTGGAATGTGCACTGTCCCAGGACAGGGCCGTGACTGGCACCCTGCACACTGTGCTGAGCAGTGCTGCAGCTCGTAGGCCCACCTTGTCTATCTGGATGGATACCTCTGCCTCTCATATGGCTGAGCCACAGGCGGAGGGGAGTTGACGTGGGCCTGTTGGCCTGTTGCTGCTGGGCCTGGGGGACGGCCTGAGGTCTAGGGCAGCCCTGGTCCTCACTGTTCATGGAGCAAGAACACAGGGAGAGGATGGGACGGCTCACACAGGAGGATGAGCAGGGGTGGAAAGGCCATCTCGTCTACGCTACCTTTCCGGATACAGTCCCTCTGTCCCCCTGCAGTGTTGGGGTTACAGAGATACACTGGGTAGGGACTGACATTGGGGTGATTGGGGAGGAGGCTCATTTTGGCCCATTTAATCCTTGCAAACAATGTACCCCTTGATTAGTGCAACCTCTCTAGAGGGCACAATTAGCAAGGCACATATCCTTCACCCAGCAATTCTATCTTTCAGAATTTAGGCTACAGAAGATTCCTTGTGAGGAGGATGTTAACTGCAGCTGTTTATGGAGACAACGACTGGAGAAAGGCCAGATGCCTATAAAAAGGTGCTGATTAAGATCAGATGGTAAACACAGATAGTGAATTCGTGCTGCCATTAAAAAGGATGAAGCAACCTTGCACGTACCGATGCGGGCCGTCTCCAGGATAAAGCAAGGTACAGGACAATGTCTGTGGTGTGTGACCGTTTATGCAAGGAAAGGGCTGTGTGTCTGATGTACTCTGCGTGTACGTAGGCTGTCTCTGGGGACAGACTGTCTCAGGGTCCTCTGCTCTTGGGGGCTCAGCCATGCTTCTAGAACCTTCGGCTCCCACAGCTGGGTTTTCTCAGCCCCCAGTAGAAAATTCAGGACCCTATCTGCAGTCCAAGCTGGTGACATGTCACACAGCCCTCACAGGGTCCTGGCTAAGAGCCAGGCCTGAGAAAGTGGGAAACCAGGCATCAGACCTGGCTTCACGTCCTGGTGCTGCTGCTTCCTGGCTACGTGACCTTGGGAAAGTAATTTAATCTGTCTGAGACCTCATCTTGCGATCGGTAGTAGCAAGGATGAATCTCACAGGAACTCCCAAGTTCCTAGCCTTCCAGGGATCACTGACTCCTGATATTAGTAGGGAGTCCCAGCTGCCTCTCTTTTCTGTCCCCCATCCCATCCACTCTTGGTTCAGGGTTACTGAGGTGAAACAGGCAATGGCCCCTCCCCGGGAAGGGGAGAAGTTTGGCCTTGGGATAAAGTGAGGGAAGTACGAGGTAGGACCAGGGCTGTGAACAAGGGTCTCTAAGGCAGCAAGTAAAGGAGACCCTCATGGCAGCCCTCTGAGGGGGTGAGCAGAGGGCCGTGTGTGCCACTTTGTGCATCAGGGCAGGGGACCCCCAGGAGAGGGTCCTGGGAGCCCTCAGAGAGGTGAACAATCCACTTGTTTCTATATTGGTCATGGCTCTGCCCTCTTGGATTAGATAGAAGAGTGAAGTAAGTGGACGCCAATGGTTTCAGCTCCCAGACGGAGCGCCGTGCCAGGCAGGCAGATGTGTTACTAGGCAGACCACAGCTGGCGAGAACAGGAGAGCGGCAGCACGCACTGTTCTAAGCGCCTGACCCATTAATCCTCAAAAGTCTGTGAAGTTGGTACTGTTGTCATCGCCCTCGGTGGCGGACTATGAACATGGCCATAGAGTCTCCCCGAACCCCCACCTGTGTCCTCGCCCCTGTGTTGTGTCCTCCCATGAAGAGGTTTAGTGTATTTCGCTCCCCCCAGCATGGCCATCATAGGCCTTGCTTTGACCAATGGGACAATAGCAAACGTGACTCAAAGAGGGGCTTGGAAAGTGTGTGTACACTGGGACTTGGATGCTCGTGGTGCATTTGGAGGCCGGAAGCCACCTCCCTCAGCCCAGGTGTGGGCCAGCTTCCTCCTGACCCCCACAGCCTGGCTGACATTCTGCAGGCTCCTTCCTCCCCCCAGAGAAGGTCTCACCTCTGTGCCCTCCCCTCGGTCTGCCCCACAGAGGCAGGCAGGTCTCCCCACCTCCCGTGCCCTCCCCACAAGGCAGTGTCACCCCAGGCACAATTACCGCAGTCGCTGCAGCCTGCAGCTCAGCGGTCTCAGCCCCTGGCAGAGGTGCTTGGCTCCCGCATCTGTGAGCGCGTTGAAGCTCAGGTCCAGCTCGGTCAGGGTCTGGCTGGCGCTCAGCCCAAAGGCAAGGTCCTCGCAGTCCTTGGCTGTGAGGCCACAGCTGGACAACCTGTGGGAGACACACACCCATGGCCTTGAGTTTCATAACCCCTTCATTCCATAAATACCCACAAGCACCATTGATCACCTATTGTGGGCCAGGTCTGTGAGACAGGCAGAGGTCAATGAGAACAGCCCCCCCCCCCCAGATGCCAGAAATGCACAGGCTACTGGGAGATAGACATAGAAACAAATAACAGTAAGTCAGTTAGTCCCGCCGGCCCCCACCCTCTCAGGATGGCAGGTTCTGGCCCTCTGGGTTATCTGATTTCCTGCTTGTTGATCTGCCCACCTTCCCTGGGTATGTTCCTGCCTCCAGGACTCATCTCAGCATAAACAAATGTGCCTTTCTTGGGGCTCTATTCCTCCCCAAACGAGTAGCCATTACAAGCTGTGCTGTGTGGATTCCTCTTCCTCAAATCCCAACCTTTCCCCAACCCCACTGAGGACACTTGACCTTGACCTCAGTGAGGAGCCTGAGGCCACCTGACTCTGGTGGGTAGAGTGGGCTGGTGAAGGACAGAGGCTCTGGTGCCAGACACAGATGAGTTCAAATCTCACCCCTGTCAGTTACAAGTTAAAGACTATGGGCAGGTTTCTTCATCAAGTTTCAGTTTACTAATCAATAGCATGGATTTGCTATGCCCATTGCACAAGGTGCTTCCAAGAAATCCAAAAGTGAAGTAAGCCAGACAGAGAGAGAAATACTACATGATCTCACTTGTATGTGAAAACTAAAAAAATAAAATACATAGGGTATAATGGTGGTTACTTGGGTGATGACAGGGAGGAGATGGGGAGATGTAGGTCACAGGGTATAAAGTTACAGTTATATATTTAAAAAGAGAGAGAGAGAGCAATCCAATCATTAGTTAGGAGTTTCCTGGAGGTTCATGGGTAGTCTGGCATCCAAAGGCAGGAAAGCTGCGTGCTGCTCATGTAGGGGCAGCTTTTTCAGTGTGGGAAATACTCACACTTTCCTGATCCATAGTTGGTAATCTTGGACGAGTTTTCTTTCTTTTTCTGACACTACCCCCGTGAGCCAGCATTAATCAGATCCTGCTTACCTGACAGAGAGGAGGTGCTGGTGCTGGGTCGTGCTCTCACTGGGTTTGTGTCCCCGCTCTCCCATTGCCAGCTGGGTGAATCTGGCAAGTCAGTTAACTTCCCTGAACCCGAGTTCCTTACATGTGGAAAATGGGAATATTGTCCCGGCTGTCCCATATTCATAGGTTCTTTTTTGGAAGGCCCAAGAAGATGATGGATGTGGGGATGTTCTGGTTTGGAGATTGTGAAGTTCTGTGCCAAAGTAAGGGGTACATTGCAGATTGGTGTCTTCCCACTGTGGTGTGAGGTTTGAGGTAGGACCAGGATTCCTGAGTTTCATTGAAAAGGATTTTCTCCTGGGCTCACGTGGTGCTAATTGCAACGATTTGGGGGGAAAGTGCAGAGCAGTCTCTTGTGGACATAGAAAGTGACAGCATAGGTCTGAATTTGCCTCCTTCTGTCTGCTCAACTCCCACTGTGACCCTTTTCCAAGAACAATCTCTTGCTTGCTTTCCTTTCTTGCAATCTCCTTTTCTCCAATCTCTCATCATTTTCTTTCCTTCACTTTCCTTGGAACCTAGCTTAGATTTCATGATCCCTCATTGCCAATATCCGACCTTCCATCACATTCTTCTGGCTAACCCCAAACTCTGCCAGATTCCCACTCCCCACGCAACTCCCACTTGTGCTGGTGGTCACCATCATGAACCACTCCCACACCCCTTGCATGGGCCTCAACAATGCCTGGCCGGCAGAGGTCTCCTGCCCTGCAATGGCCATTTGAAGACTTTACCTTCCCCAAATCCCCAACACTTCAACCTTCACTCACAGCAGACAACTCAATTCCTATTTTGCAAGGAAAAATGAAGCCATCACATGGGAACCCCTCAGCTCCTACAGTCAAACCTTGTGCCTACCTCTCTCTTCCCCGTCCTCATCTCCCCTCTTGTTACAGTAGAGGAGACACTTCCTCTTTCCTCCAAGGCCAGTCTTTCTCCTCCCTCCTCCTTCTGCGTACAGAGAGCCATCCCTGACTCCTTCTCCTTCCTGGATCTTTCATTACCCGTCCTCCATTGATACCCAAACTCAGGTCTTTTCATTCTTAAACGCAAGTAAGCAGATAGACACACACTCGTTTAGTTGGCCCAACACCCCCCTCTGTTTTAGTGAGCTTCTCCCCTTTGCTACCAAAGTCTTTGAAAGATGTGTTTGTATTTGAAGTCTATTTTTTTGTTTTGTTTTCTTACTTCTGTCTCCCTCTTCAATCCATTCCAATTTGCATTCTGGCCCTTTTACACCACAAAAGCTGACTTTCCTGTCACTAAACCAATGGACAGATTTCAGTTGTTATCTTACTTGATATCCTAGTAGCGGTGGTCCTTGCTGACCCATCCTCCTTGAAACCAACGCTCTGCTCTGTTGGGTTCCACAGCACAACACTCTCCTGGTGTCCTTGTCACCCACCTGGCTGCTCCTTCTTGACTTTCTTCATTGGCTCTTCTTTGTTTGAACATTGAACATTGGGGGGTGGATTCCCTGAGGCTTGACCTGCAATCTTCTCTTTGCATGTGAATTTTAGGTTCAGCGTGTTCATTTCTGCACAAAATGCAGCTGAGATTTTGGGTAGGGATTACCTTGAATCTGTAGATCAATTTGGTGATATTGTCATTTTAACAATATTAAGTCTTCCAATCCATTAACATAGGATATCTTTCCATTTATTTAGGTCTTATTTAACTTCTTTCAACTGTGTTTTGTAATTTTCAGTGTACAAGTCTTGCTCTTCTTTTGTTAAATTTTTTTTCTAAGTATTTTTTTCCTTTTGATGGTATTATGAGTGGAGTTCTTTTTTTCTAATTTAATTTTTGGGTTGTTTAGTGCTAGTGTATAGAAGTATGATTAATTTTCATATATTGATGTTGTTTCCTAAAAACGTGCTGAATTCCTTTGCTAGTTCTAATAGTTATGTTTATAAATTCCTTAGGATATTTTATAAACATTATGTCATCTCTAAATAGAGATAGTTTAATTTGTTTGTTTGTTTGTTTTTTTACCAATCTGGAAGACTTAAATTTTCCTTTTTTGCCTAATTACCCTGGATGGAATCTTGAGCACCATCTTGAATAGAATTGACTGGACCAGACATCTTTGTCTTCTTCATGTTCTTAAGGGGAAAGGACTCAGTCATTCACCATTAAGTATGATATTAGTTGTGGGTTTTTCATAGGTGACCTTTATTAGTTTGATAAAATTCCCTTTTAATCCTAGTTTTCTGAATGTTTTCAATGTGAGAAGCTATTGAGTTTTGTTTTCTGTGTCTATTGAGATAGTCATGTGGGTTTTGTCCATTATTCTATTATTAATAACATAGTGTATTGCATTGATTGATTTTCCTAGGTTAAAAAATTTTATAGCCCTCAGATAAATCCTACTTGGTCATAGTATACAATCCTTTTTATATGTGGCTAGTATTTTGTTGAGGAGTTTTGCATATGTATTCATATGGGATATTGGTCTATAGGGTTTTTTCCTGTTGTGGTGTCTTTGGTTGTCTTTGTCTGATTTTTGTATCAGGGTAATAGTGGTTTCATAGAATGAATTGGCAAGTTTTCCCTTTTCTTCTATTTTTGGAAGAGTTTGAGAAGTTTCTTTATTATTTATTTATTTTAATTATTTTTATTTTAGCGTATTATGGGGGTACACATGTTAAGGTTACGTATATTGCCCATGCCCCTCCCTCGAATCAGAGCTTCAAGTGTGACCATCCCCCAAAGGTTGCACATCTCACTCATTGTGTTTGTATACACCCATTCCCTCCTCCCCCCTCCCACCTGCCCGACACCCGATAAATGTTATTCCTATATGTCCACTGAGGTGTTGATCCGTTAATACCAATTTGCTGGTGAGTACACATGGTGCTTGTTTTTCCATTCTTGAGATACTTCACTTAGTAGAATGGGCTCCAGCTCTATCCAGGGAAATACAAGAAGGTGCTATATCGCCATTGTTTCTTAAAGCTAAGTAGTACTCCATGGTATACATATACCACCTTTTATTAATCCACTCATGAATTGATGGGCACTAAGTTTCTTTAAATGTTTGGTAGAATTCACCAGTGAATTCTACGCTAGGCTTTTCTTAATAGAAAGTGTTTTGTTTACTGATTCAATATCTTTACTCGTCATAGGTCTCTTTGAATTTTGTATTTCTTCTTGGGTCAGTTTGGGTAGTTTGTGTCTTTGTAGAAATTGGTCCGTTTACATAGATTATCTAATTTGTTGGCTTATAATATTTCATGATATTCTCTTTTAGTCTTTTTTATTTCTGTAAGGTCAGTTGTGATGCCCCCTCTTTCATTCCTGATTTTAGTAATTTGAATCTTACCTCTCTTTATCTTAGTCTAGCTAAAATTTGTAAATTTTGTTGATATTTTCAAAGAATCAACTTTGGTTTCATTGATTTTATATATTGTTTTTCTACTTTATATTTAATATATTTCCACTGTAGTCTATATTATTTCCTTCTGTTTGCTTTTCATTTCATTTGCTTTTAAAATAAATTCCCTAAAGTGGGAGCTTAGGTTATTGATTTGAGGTCCTTTTATTTCTATTCTTATCTTTCTCCTTCCTTCCTTCCTTCCTTCCTTCCTTCCTTCCTTCCTTCCTTCCTTCCTTCCTTCCTTCCTTCCTTCCTTCCTTCCTTCCTTCCTTCCTTCCTTCCTTCCTTCCTTCCTTCCTTCCTTCCTTCCTTCCTTCCTTCCTTCCTTCCTTCCTTCCTTCCTTCCTATTTCTTAGAGCAGTTTTAGGTTCATAGCAAAAAGTACAGAGTTTTCATATACCTCCTGTCCCCACCCGTATACCATCTTCCCCACTATGAACATCACAGTGGTATATTTGTTAAAATTGATGAATCCGCATAGACACATCATTGTCTCCCACAGTCCATAGTTTACACTAGGGTTCACTCTTGGTCTTGTATATGCCATGGATTTGACAGCTGTGCAATGACATATATCCACCATGCTAGCATCACACAGGATAGTTTCAGTGCCCTGAAAATTTTCAATGCTCTGCCCATTCACCCTTTCCTCTATTTTTTCCCCCTGGAAACCACTGTCTCCACAGTTTTGCCTTTTCCAAAATGTCATATAGTTGGAATATACAGTATGTAGCCTTTTCAGGTTGGTTTCTTTCACTTAGTAATATACATTTAAGGTCCATATATTTTATGGCTTAATAGCTTACTTCTTTTTAGCACTTACTAGTCCATTGTCTGGGTACCACAGTTTATTTATCAGTTCACCTACTGAAGGACATCTTGATTGCTTCCAAGGTTTGGCAATTATGAATAAAGCTGTCGTAAACATCCATGCACAGCTTTTTTTATGGATATAGGTTTTCAGCTGATTTGGGTAAATCCCAACTATTTTGACTGCTGGGTCATATGGTAAAAGTATGCTTAGGTTTATGAAAAACTGCCAAACCATCTTCCAAAGAGGCTGTACTATTTTGCATTCCCACCAGCAATGAATGGGAGTTCCTGTTGCTCCACATCCTCACCAGCGTTTGGTGTTGTCGGTGTTTTGGAATTTGGCCATTCCAATAGGTATGTAGTGGTATCCTATCCTCTTTTTTTAACATAGGCATTTATAGCTATAAATTTTATCTTCAGCACTGCTTTAGCTGCATCCAGTACATTTAGGTATGTTGTGTTTTGTTTTTATTCACCTCAAAGTACTTTCTCATTTCCTTTGTGTTTTCTTCTTTGACCCATTGCTTATTTTGGAGTTTGTTGTTTAATTTCAGTGTCTTTGTGAATTTCCCTAATTTACTTCTGTTGTTAATTCCTAATTTTATTTCATCATGATCAAATAAAATTAGATCATTTCCTATAATTTTAATTCTTTCAACTTTATTGAGATCTGTTTTTTGGGGCAGCCTTATCTTTGCATATAGCTTTATTTGATGCTTGCTTGATATGTCCATTTGGATACCTCAAAGGAACTGGAAACCAACAAGCACCAGATCACATTCATGACACCCCACACCCCAATCACACGTCCTTCAGTATTCCCCATCTCAGTGAAGGTGCCACTAGCCCAGGATCTGCTCTGGCCAGAAACCTAAGATCATCCTTCCTATCTGCCTCTCCCTTTCTCTCTAAATCCAATCCCTTACTGACCCTATTATTTTACTTTTATACATCTTTTAAATCTAGTCACTTCTTTCCTTCTTGATGGCCAGTACCACAGTCTAATCGATTACTGTCTCTTACTGAAACTACTGCAATTTTCCTACTAACTGGTTTCCAAACCTCTATCTTTGCACCCTTCCCATACTTTTTTTGCATAGCAGCCAGTTTCTATGTTGAAAATGTCCTGATCTTGCCAACTTTATGCTTAAAATCTCACTGCATCAGGAAAAGACCCCTAATCCCAACAAGGCCCACCAGCCCTGCCTGGTCTGGTTCCTGCTGATCTCTGTAGCCTCACCCTTTGCTCTCTGCTCTCCAGACACACAGGCCTGCTTCCCTTCCTGGGCTGCCTCGTCCTCCCTCCTGCCACAGGGCCTGGTACATTTGCACCTGCTGTTCCCTCTGCCTAAAACTTTCTCCCTCCTGTTGTTCCTAAATTCTCTGTATTCTTCAGATCTCTTTCAAGCTTCACTTCCTCAAGGACATTTTTTCCACTGGAGCCCTGATTTGGGTTCTAGTAGAGAAAACTGATATTATCAATTTGTTAGTATACTTCCTTGTTATTATAAATTTATTACACATTTGTTAGTATGGTTCCTAGATTAATGCCAGTCTCTTGCAAACTCAGTGAGAAAACAAAATCCTGTCCCTGTTTATTTACTGTAGTAGCCCTGGCACCTGGCACAGGGCATAAGCAGAAAGGGCCGTAATGAGTATTTGATGAATACTAAGACCAATCCCTCATCCTAGACTCAGCCTCTGCCTTGGATCTTCTGCCCATCCTTGCTCCAGAGCAGAACCCAGGCCAGACTCACCACAGGGTCTCCAGGTGACAGCGAGGATGACTCAGGGTCTCACGAAGACTGCGCACTGCTGAGCGGCTCAGCGAGTTTCCACTTAGGTCCAGCTCCTTCAGGCTTCCAGAGACCTCGAGAATGGAGAAGAGAACCAGCCAACTGGCATCTGTGACCGGGGCCCGTGTGAAGCTGAGAGAGGGAGAGAGGGACAGGAGAGATGTGATCTGTGGGGGGGGGGGTCTGATGTGCACAGCCCTGCACTACACAGTGGGGGTTCTGTCCCCCTGAGCTCCAGGCCACAGTGGGCAGTGCCATCCCTGGGACTGGCCAGGCTCCCCGCCAGGCCCTCTGCCCCTGCCACCCTGGGCTGGGAGCTACTGCTCTGTGTGGCTCCTCATTCCACAGCCCTTACCATACCATGCTGAAGCGTTCATGCTGTGTGTCTGTTTCCGTCTTAGTTTGGCAGTTTCTTGAATGCAGGGGCAGATACTTGTCATCCCTATTATCTGCAGTGCACAGCATGGGGCCTGGCACAGAGCAGGAGCTTGGTGATCTGGACAGCCTTCCTCTCTTTGATGCAGACACACCTGTCTTCCTTTGGCACAGACGTTCTGTATGCCCAGTGCCCAGAAAGGAGAGGAGGAGATGGGAGGTGGCACAGAGGCTGGGAGAAGTGGTCTGAGGGTGACTTTATGCTGCAAGGTTGTGTGTGATCATATATACTGCTGTCTAGGTTGGTGTGCATGGGACCCTGTCCCCTTCCACGGATAGCAAGACCATAGAGAGGGTCTGCAGGAGAGAGTTGGCTAAGGGAACGTCCTAGGGGAGAATATTTCTGGTGGGGAGAGCATGATGGACTTGGTCTGAGAGTATTAGAATACACTCTGCCTTGTATAATTTCTACCCATTTAATTTCTCTATTTTCACGCACTGCTTTAGTGACCTCATCTACTTCCTAGGGCTTCACCTTCTTATGCTCTATTCCAAGTGTCAGACTAATATTTCTATTTTCTCCCATCCAAGTACTAACCAGGCCTAAGCCTGCTTAGCTTCCGAGATCAGACAAGATCAGGTGCTTTCAGGGTGGTATGGCTGTAGGCAGATATTTCTATTTTCTGGCCAGACCGCTTCACTACGTTTTGACCTAATACATCCTGATATGCCCCAACCTTAATTCATCTTCCCCCTAAGTGTGCAGAGCCATGCAGAGGCGAGGAGCAGAGGCCAGGAAGCCAGCCACCTGCACTTCATGTCCACTCCCCTGAGCCCCACTCAGTCTCCTCCGGGGGGAAAAAGAGAACAACCACAGTCCCGCTGCAGAGGGATTTGTGAGGATTAAAAGATATCCCAGGCCGTTTGCGTTGGCTAACACCTGTGATCCTAGCACTCTGGGAGGTAGAGGTGGGCGGATTGCTGGAGGTCAGGAGTTCGAAACCAGCCTGAGCAAAAGTGAGACCCCGTCTCTACTATAAATAGAAAGAAATTAATTGGCCAACTAATATATATAGAAAAAATTAGCCGGGCATGGTGGCGCATGCCTGTAGTCCCAGCTACTCGGGAGGCTGAGGCAGCAGGATCGCTTGAGCCCAGGAGTTTGAGGTTGCTGTGAGCTAGGCTGACGCCACGGCACTCACTCTAGCCTGGGCAACAAAGCAAGAGAGACTCTGTCTCAAAAAAAAAAAAGATATCCCAGAGATTCCCAAAAGTTTTAAGTTTCAACAACTTCCAAAGTATAAATGCTACAAATGTATCAAAAAAGCCATCATTTGAAAGTTTAATTATTTGAATTTCTTTTACATTTATTTAGTTTTGTGAAACTTGAAGAATACATTTAAAATTTTTTCTTTCAGTCAGCAATTGCCATCTTTAATAAAAGCGACTGAAAGAAAACATTAAAAAGTATTCAAAATGCATGATGCTTCATGCCAAGCCAAGTCCCTGGAGCCTCCACCCTCCATCCTCATTCCCTTCATGTCTCTCGTCTCCCTTCCCACTGCCTTCAGCCGGTCTCCCTTATTTCTTCCTGGACTGTTTGTGTGCAGGAGCCCCTCACTGTTCTCTCTGCCTTGCTGAGCTGACTCCAAGCCTTCAAAACCCCCTTCCCTCTTGCAGCTGCAGCCTCCGACTGTCCCATGGGGTCCCTGCAGGCTCCACTGGTGGCCGTCCGTCCCAAGCTCTCTTGGTCTGACCTGGTGTTCCTGGTTCCTCACGCCCACATCAGGCCGCTGCCACTTGCAACACCTGTATCCAGGTCCTTCAAGGCCTACTTCAAGTATATTATTTTATTTTATTTTATTTTTGCTTATGAGACAGGGCTCTGTTGCCTCAGCTAGAGTGCAGTGGTGTCATCATGGCTCACTGCAGCCTCAAACTCCTGAGCTCAAGTGATCGTCCTGCCTCAGCCTCCAAGGTAGCATGGACTATAGGTGCATGCCACTACATCTGGCTATTTTTTTTTCTTTTTTTCGTAGAGATGGGGTCTTACTGTTGTTCAGGCTGGTCTCGAACTCCTGACTTCAAGTGATCCTCCTGTCTTGGCCTCCCAAAGTGCTGGGATTACAGTTGTGATAGATTGTGCCCAGCCCTACTTCATGTTTATAACCATACACCTAGAAACAACCTAAAATAGGCAAGAATAGTGCAATGGCCAAATCATGCATGGCACTTTCCCTCTGGAATACCACAGGTGAATCAGACTACTTAATGCAGGAAGGTAACACCTTGAGATGTGAAGAAAATAAAGCTGATGTGAAATAAAATGTATGGTGTGGTTTGATTTTGCCACAGAAACGTGCATAAAAAAGAGAATAGACTGTTAGACTTCTTAGAGTTGACCATCAGTTCTTAATGATGGTCATCTCTTAATTCTAGTTGATATTAATTTTCAACTTTCACTTACTTATCTGTCCTTATTTTTCTACAATGAACATCAGTTTCATTCTGAGAAAAAACTTTAAAATCCTGAAAATAAAAAACCCAAATCAAATATTTCTTCCTCTGAGAATTTTTTCTTTCCTTGTCCCTTAGGAAAGTGGTCACTCCCTTCCATTGGCCACCATAGTACCTTTACAGTACCTTTAATACATATGATAATGTATTCATACCTATAATAAGGCATCACAATCTATTGTCATTATTGGGTGAATGTCTGTCTTCTCCCCCAGGTTTAAAGCTCCTTAGGGCAGGTATTGTGCATTTTAATCTGTGATGTATAGGGCCTGGCATAAAATTAGTGCTCAATAAATGTTTATGGAATGAGCAATCTAAAGGGAGAGATAGACACATACCAATACTATGGTCAATACCGCAGCAGAGGCAGGGGAACCCAGATGAGGAAGTTCTCAGCATTGCTGGGCTGGGGGATGATTAGCAGAAGATGTTGTCCGATGCTCAGAGGGTGGGTTTGAGGTTGACTGCCTGGGGCAATCGTGGCACCACAGACAAAGAAGTCACATTTGCAGGGACAAATAGGGGACTTCTTTTCAGACACGCAGTCTGAGGTGGTGGGGGAAGATCTCAGGGCCATTGTCCATGCCATTGAGGGGGTTCCTGGAGCAGCCTAGTGAACCATTTCTCAGAGAGAGAGCACGTGGAGAGAGGAGCAGGGCCAGGTGAGCTGTGGGATCCTTGGGGAGGGTGGGGACAGCTAAGGTCAGTGTGAAGGGGGAGTGTGTCCAGAGAGAAGGCAGGTGGCTGTCCTAGGGGTAAGAGAAGGGCCGCAGCTCAAGACGGGGCCCCACCAGGCCTCTCTGGAAGCAAGTAGGACTTGTCCCACCATGGACAGAGAACAGTGGTCACACCGTGCAGTTAGGAGTCACTGGTGACCAGGCCCAGTGACAGTGCCCTCGGTGCTCAGGACATTTGGGCCCATGGGATGGATAGAGGGGCTGGAGAGAGGAGGGGGTGGGTACTCACAGGACTACCCCGGGGAGCCTCCATGTGGGTCTGTGCTGACCACCTGCATTCAGTTGAAGCCTCTTCACGTGGTGGCAGAATTTAATGCAGAAGGTGAACAGCAGGAGCTCCACGTCTGTGTGGATAAACACACTTGTTCCCTGGAAATGGCCCATCACCTGTGTCAGGAACTCCTCATCCTGAGTCTCGTACAAACAGTGGAGCACCTCCAGAGAGCTTGGCTGCAGCAGGGCCTGCAGGACCCGGGTCTCCTCCTCGGCCCACTGCAGCAGCTCCCGCCTCCTGTCCAGGCTTGGCCGGCGGTTGAAGATGTTCTCCATCTCTCTCTGTGCCTGCTCAGTTCGAAGGCCGAATAGGAAACGCGTGGTTGGTGCCCCAAACACGTCATGGCTTTGGTATGCTTCTTGTAACCTTTCCACAACTCTAATGAGGTTAGGATGTTCACCTCTCTCCTCCGTATCCCCCAAGGCACAGGACATTGCTGCAAAGAACTCCTGGAAGCACAGGTGGGTGAAGCTGTAGCTCGGACAGGTGTGGTGCTTTTGAAGAACACCCATCTTCAAGAAAGTGGAGATGATGGCCTCATCCAACTCGTGCTTCCTGAGATCATCTGGGCTGAAAAGGCTCTTTCCTTGCCAGACACCCTCAGCAGCCAGGAGGCAGATGCCCCTCAGCTGGGGCCCCAGGGGCTGACCTGGGAGAGCCTGGGAGAGGTGGCGCAGACAGAGGCCCGTGGCCGTCCGGGAGGTGAGTGTGAGTTCTTCCCCCCGCTCCATCTGCTGCTTCAGGCAAGAGCAGACCAGCCAGGACACGAAGGGCACGAGACACAGGGTCCAGACTGCTCGATTTGACTCAACCAAGCCAAAGGCTCTAACTGCTTGGCTTTTATCTGTGAAATAGTTATAGAAATATTCCTTCCTGCCACAGTCAGAGAACCCCAGGACCTCCACCCACCGTGGCTGCTCCAGAGAAGGAATGAGCTTCTGCAGAGCTGTGGTCCGAGTGGTGATCAGCAAGGAAGCCTCGGGAAGTATGGTTTTCCCCAGCAAACTGCCAAGCAGCGTGTGCACCGGCCATGGCTCTCTCCAGCGCAGACGGCGCTTGGAACTCTGCTTCTGCAAGACCCATCTTGGCTCATCCACATCATCAAGGATGAAGAGCAGCCGCCCTGGACGAGACAGGATCATTCCAAGGGGAGCCAGAGAGGCCTCCGAGCCTTTTGTGATGAGCTCAGCGAGACTCAGCACTTTGGCCTGGGCCAGCTCCCTGCAGCTGAAGTAGAAGACGTGGTGGAAGCAGTCTCTGTACAGCTGGCCTTCCTCCCAGGCCCTCTTCACCTGCCTGGCCAGTGTTGACTTCCCAATTCCAGCAGCACCGTGCAGTATGACTACACGACGTTCTTCTTGGGTTCCCAGGCCTGGGCCAAATAAGTCTCCAATCTCAATCAAACGTCCTTGATTCTCCACCATGTCACAGTGCCAGATTTCCCTGACCAGGGACTCATGACTTCTGGGGTGAAGTCTTTCTAGAAGTGTCAGCTGTGTGAATTTTTGGTACAAATCCTTATTTTCCCAGGAATGCATGGAGCAGGGGTTCTCTCCCTTCTTATTCTGGTATCCTTCTTTCATTCCTAAGGGAGGGAGGGTTGGAACATAAAGGTACAGAATAGACTTGTTCATTCATTCAACAAGCGTTTTAGGCACCTACTCCAAGCCACACCCTGCACTGGCTGCTGACATTGGTGTGTTTTTGCCATGCAGTGGGAGGAACATGGGCTTTGGGGTGGGAGAGGTGAGAATGGGCACAGAAGCAAGGGAAAGAAAACGCGGCCAGGTAGGGACTGTCACAAAGCAGCAGCAGGGTGAGGAGAAAAATCGCTCCACCAGGAATGGATTGTTCTAAGTTCTAGCCCTTGTTCTGCTACTAAATGCTGTGTGAGCTTGGACAAATGAGCTGATCTCTCTGGCCCTTCTGCTTTGGGAAGAGGTGACCACTTTGATGCTGTCACAAGAAGAGGAAGAGACAAGGGTGTAGCTGAGGTTTGCAGCCTGGGTGATTCAGGGTGGCAGAGACCAAAACAAGGGAAGTCTGGTGAGGAAACCGGGTTGGGCTGAGAAATGAGCCTGGCCCCCTCTTGGGACCCGTCTGGAGAACAGAGTCCTCTTGAACATCTGGACCACCCTGTCACCAAGGATCCTCAGAGCCCACCCAAGATTGTGAGTTGAACTCTGCTGAGGCAAGGACCATGACACACATGGTACTCAGTTGGGTGAGACCCACTACCTGACCTACATGTGTCTCAGTTTCCCCATCTATCAAATGGGGAGGGATATAATCTCAGCACTGGCAGGGCTTTTTTTTTTTTGAGACAGAGTCTCACTTTGTTGCCCAGGCTAGAGTGAGTGCCGTGGCGTCAGCCTAGCTCACAGCAACCTCAAACTCCTGGGCTCGAGTGATCCTTCTGCCTCAGCCTCCCGAGTAGCTGGGACTACAGGCATGCGCCACCATGCCCGGCTAATTTTTTTATATATATATATCAGTTGGCCAATTAATTTCTTTCTATTTTTATAGTAGAGACGGGGTCTCGCTCAGGCTGGTTTTGAACTCCTGACCTTGAGCAATCCGCCCGCCTCGGCCTCCCAAGAGTTAGGATTACAGGCGTGAGCCACAGCGCCCGGCCCCTGAAAGATATTTTGAGGCCTGCTGCTCTTATCACCCCATCCTGGCTCCTCCACACTTCTCTGTTGTCCCCCCATTCCAGGTCCCCATGCAGGTACACACTCACCCAGGTGGAGACCCACTGGTTGACTCACAGCCCTAGCCGAGGCCCTCATCCCCACTCAGCAAGCCTCACCTTTCCATTGGTGTCCAGATCTTAGATGAATCAATCTTGGAATCATTTTTTCTAAGACCCAGGGGTTCCTTTGGGACTGAGGGCCACGGAACTTATGCACTTTGGACAAGGTGTGCTGGCTGGGGGACTCCAGGTTGGGTGTACCTGAGAAGGAGAGGAATGGGGAGAAGTCATCTGCAGGAAGGAGACAGAAAGGTTGGGGATGTGTCAGAGGGGCAGGGGCAGGAGCCAGGAGACTGAGGCCAGGGTTCTTCGTATTAAGCAGGTCTTCTGTCTCAACCAAGAGAGGTCAGGAGAAACGAGTGAACCCACTGCTGCCCTCTGCAGTCTCCTCCATGGGCTCCTCTGAAGAACGATGCTCTGGTAGACACTGCTAGGCAAAAGGTACTGGTCTGGGATCTAGGAAATTTGCATATCTGTCCTGGTTCTAAGTCTACTCCCTGTGTAAGTCACTGCTCTTTTCTCATGTGGGACTAAGAGCCTCTGCATCCCAGGGATGCTAATAGTACTAATGACAACAGCAGCAACAATAGCAACAAGAGCTCTCAATTACTGAGCACTTCCTACATATCAGAATCTGTGCTGAATGTTTAACAGGCGTTAGCTCTTTTAACCCTCACACAGCCCAAGGAGGTGGGCTCTTACTCTCCCCCTTTGTAGATGGAGAAATGGAGGCAGAAGCGATAAAGTGATTTGCTCAGGGTGGTAGTGCCAGGGCTGGAACCTGCCTCTGCCTGATTCCCAAGTCTGTGCCTATAACTACAATGCCAGCAAGTCCTCTCCCCTGGGAGCAGGGCCTGAAGCCCACACCCACCTTTCCCAGCATCCCCCTCCCAGGCACTGTGAGGACCACAAGGGGGCCTGGGAATGCACATGAACAGAAGAAGGGGTGGGGCTCTGGGGCCCAGCAAGGGTGCCCCAGCTCCAGCCTAGTCTGGGGCCTGGATTCCCCCTTAGACAGGGTGGTCCCAAGTCACTGCCCAGAGCTTCAAAGGGCAGAGAGGGTTCAGTGGTGGTGGTGGGGTCCCCGGGGGGAGTGGCTGGGGCCAGGAGACTACAGCAGACAGAGGGGTTCTTTTCCTCTCACCTAGCAACAAGGCCTCCTCTTCCTGGTCCTGCCCACAGGGCAAGCTCAGGCCCATCTGCCTGCAGGTGTGGCGGGCAAGGTTCCAGGCTCGCTGCTCCCCATACCGAGCCACCAGTTGTGAGGCCACCTCCATGCCACTCATCTTCTCTGGTGGAACTGCCATCGCACTGGAAGAACCCGGGACGGGTTCTTCATTGTGCAGCCGAAGCTGGAACTCCTTCAGCTCTTCCTTCTTCAGTAGCTCCAAGTAATAGCCCAACTGGGCTCTGCTGGCCATTGCTGTCCTAGAGTGGAGGGACTGGGAGATGTTCAAGGGGCAGGGGAAGTGGATGGGTGGTGAGGGGCATCAGGCAGGCAGAGAAGAGTGGTCTCCTTTGCCTTGGCCCCTACCATCTCCCACTGTGGGACTCCCACTGGGATCACTCTTCTTGACTTGGTAAACTCCTATTCGGCATTTAGAACCCAGTTTTGGAAACCCCAGGGTGTCTGCTAATAGATGGTGTTGGCGGTCAGGGAAGGGAGTGGTAGGAAAAGTCTTGGGAGGGAGGGGCCTGGAGGGGACTGGGAGACACTGGAAGAAGTCAGGTTGTGTGGGGGTACTGGGGTGGGGCCCAGGGCCTGGGAGGGGGAAGAGGAGAGTGGGTGATTGGATGCAGGTGACACTCACGGTTCTGTGTTCCTCAGATTCTTCCCTCTCCTGGGCTCTGGACTCCTGGGATTAATCTTTGAGCTGCAAGGCTGGCAAGGAGGTGGGCTAGGGGAGAGGCAAGGCAGGGGTGGTCTTCCAGGGTCCCCGGTCTCTTCAGATCTCTTCTGGCCCTGAGACATCAGCCAGTGACCACAGCTCCAGCCAGCCACAGCAGGAAGAAAACATCACCAAAAGGAAACCCATGGCAGGTGTGGCCAGAGGAGGCGTGGCGAGGGGCTCAGGCCCAGACAGGCTGTTGCTGCAGCGGGGGCAGACCATACGACGCACAGTGCATGCGTGTTCACGCAGGCCTCCTCCAGCCCAGCACCCAGAGCCTGCCCACAGACCCAGGGGGCAGATTTTCCTGGCACTCGGGTGTGGGGCCCAGGCCCAGGAACTCGGGGTGGGTGGGGCCCCTGTGTCTGCCAGGGATAAACATTAGACCTGGGCCAGGGAGCACCCTTCCCAGGCTTTCATGGTTTTGGGGGCTTCCTGAGCCCCAAAGCTCATCCTGCCATGGTCCAAGGGGCACTGAAGTGTGTGTCCCAGGTTTAGGTGGCTATGTGCTTTGTGAGCAGCTTAGCACCCAGCTAGTAAACATTTCCACTGCAAAGCAGAACAGCTCCTGTATATCCCTGCAAAGCCACGCCTCGGGGAGCTGGGCCCACACCTTCTTCCTCTTTTGTACAATCAGCAGAGGCTGAAGTATCCAGATTGAGGAGTGACATTTCCCAACTGATTTGCTGTTGGATAATAAATAGCACCAGGAGTGTCTGGAGATGCCTTGGTTTGACCTGGGATGGCAGAGCCCAGGCTGCAGCCCATGGCAGTTAACAAAAGCTCTGCACTTCTCCACAAGGCCAAATCAGAAGAACAAGGACATGTAGTTGTAGAGAAGGAAAGAGATTTATTACTTTCCTGGCAAAGGAGGAAAAAGGCAGACTATTGTCTGAAAATCCAATTTTTTCCTGCACACAGGCAGAAATACAGAGCTTTTAAAGGGAGGGCCCCTCAGTTCTAGGCTACTGCGGTTAACTGTTGTAATCGTCTCATCTCTACCAAAGACAAAGCCTGTGACCTCTGCCAGCTGCCCACCTAGGGGGCTGGTGCCACCTGGGATGTGAACAAAAGGCCTTCTCCCTGCCCCTGTCTACCACTGGCGTGAGGCAGGGAGGGAGGTTTCATTTCTCATAAAGAGTGGGGGAACTTTCAAAGAGACAGAAAATAGCTTTGCTGATTTTTTTTTAATTTTATTTTTCCAAGCCATTCCATGCTACATATTCCCCACTCTGAATTTTACGCTTCCATACCTATGGGAGGAGGGGTGACATAGTCATAGTCATCAGACTACTTCCTGCTGAAATGGGGGAAATGTTTTAGATAGAGGACTTATATTTATGTATGTCATTGCAAAACTTTGGCAGTAGATTTACAACAACAGAAGAAAAAAATCATTAGTAATTACTGTAGCATCTGGAATTGGCAAGGCAAAATGGACTGTCGCCTTGTAGACATTGTCTGATACAGGGCTGGGCAGGAAAGCACTCTGTAGGTGATCTGAGAGACAAGCTTTTGAAAATTCAGAAACCATACAGATGACAAATACAGGTTAACAGAAGAGGCAACACCCTGGGGAAACCCTCACTAAGGAGTTTTGTCTCTCCATGCTATAGACAGAACAAATAATCAAAGAAAAATTATCAAAAAATATTAACATTTTCATTTTTCCTCTTCCTTAAACAGTTACTTTTGATCACCTAAAGGCTGATCCCTCCACTGGTGGCTTGGTTCTCTTCTTCCATGGGGCACCTCTTCACTCTGGCATGATGGACCCAAGGTTTTATTTCTGGAAACTTCAGGGAGGTAGGAGCTCTTAGAGGCACTTCATAGAGTCTCTTCTACTTTTTTGCTTCCAGTTGGGGTGGAGACCTGAAATAGACAAACTCATACCTAGTGGTTAGTGCCTGACCCACTCATATGGCACACTGCTTTACCCTGCTTTTTACTCATGGTTTATTGCTATGCTTACCTCCGGGTGCTAGGAAGGGTCTCTCATAAACTATTTCTTAGGGGCTTAACTTAAGCCTGCTTCTGAAGGATATCCTTCTCCAGAGGGGGACAAACAACAATACCCTATTTTACTTTTCTGCATCGATAATTTTTATTCTAGATGTAGGTCTTTGCCTGCTCACCAGGTTATCTCTGATTCCATTATTGCTTTGTACGGAGGAGGGAGCCTCTAAACATCCTGATAACCTGTGGGACCACTGAGTCCACTATGTAGAAAAGGCTCACCAGGTTCCCACAGAGGCTACACTCGAAGTCCTGGGCGACCACAGGACGTTGTGCAGGAGATCCAGGTGCAGAAGCAACACTGCCATGGAGTAGTCACTTTGCGAAATGTCCAGGGCTTCCTGGGTTCCTGGGTCCTGTCAACAATGGAGCTGTCTGAGCCTCATCTGTTTCCAGGTCTTTTCCTTCTTGGCCTCAGATTTCTATAGCTCAGCTACGCTACTGTGGTGCTTGCTGACATCCTCACTGCTGAGCTGTCTCTGCAGCTGCTTGTCCATGACGTCCATCACCACAAGCAAACCATTTTCTACCTGCTTGGTATTTTTCCCTGGACTGCTGATGTCCATCATCCTGCACCGTGCTGGCATAGGAACTTGGCAAAGGCCCTGTTCCGGCCAGCAGCTCCTGGTAGGATCCCATCTTGGAGCTTTAGATGCTCTGTCCATTCCCAGCCTGAAAAGGTATCTACTAACACCACGTGAAACTGGCAATCATCAAAAGGATTGGGCCCCACGTATTGGGCTCCCTGTGCAGATGGTCGCCTTTCTGTCCTTGGACCACCTCGAGCATATAAACAGTTTGTTGCACACAGGATGAAGTCTCACCAAATCCATTAAGGCAAGCACATGAACATGTCATTAGAAGTGGGGCTTTCGAAAGTAAGGCTTCCCAAACCCATTAAGGCATCACACCTCTAATGTGTGTAGGTGCCTCAAAAGAGGCCAAACCAAAGCTTCAAGTTAGAGAACAAGTCCATGATAGCTCTGTGTCCACTTAGCTGTGTCAACCCAGTGGCAGATTCCCAGTCTTTAGCTATAAAGGGGGTCTAAATCTATCTGGGGTATCAAGGCCCAGAGAACAGTGGCCTTCTTGGCAGCTCTGCCAGTGGCCCTGACTTCTTTTTGCCACGTTGGCCACCTGCTTGGGCTCAGCCCGTATCAAGACCATCATTTCCTTGGCACACTTAATATTCTTATCTCCTGCTGTCAGGAGACACCTTTCAATGGCACTATAAGATGTACAGTCATAAAAAAATATATAAACGTTTACCTTTTTCTCCTTGATGACTGCAACTCAGCTTCCTGAGCTGAAGTCCCAGGTGGCAGTGTCACTTCTGTGCTCACCGCACATCCAGTCCCTCGTCCATAAAGCTGTTCCACCGGTGAGAAAACCCCAGTCTTGTTCTGGCATCAGCTTATCTGACAGATCCATCCAGCCTAGAATACAGTCTCCAGAACCTCTAACCAGTCATGTGGTAAAAGGGTGGCAGGATTGAGAATAGACACAGTCTTTATTAACAATGTACCAAGGAGGCCATCTTTTCACAATATTGTTCAGTGGCTTTAACATGTCACTGGCCTTGGGATGCCTCTCGGCATCTATGCTAAGACTCTAAGGCTTATTCCCTGATTTTCATATTATTTACAAGTCAGGCAAACCCAGAAGGGGGCAGTAATAAGCTGTTCCCTTGGGGCCTCATACAAGGGCTTTACCATCAGTCTGAAGTCTGGGATCCAGACACCATTCCTAGGAACCGCAGATAAGTTAATATAAGTTTACAAATCTGTCCGATTGCAGGTCCACAAATCCTCTGCTAAGCTGTCATCAAACAGGGCAGGAAAGCCCGTTTTAGAACTCCTAACACAGTCTAAGGGAGTACCATTCAAGCTCTGCATCTGGTCTACAGCTGCCCCACTGTTGTCTGCCCCTCCCCCACAGCCCTCTGCCTGGCTTGCTGAGTGCCTTGAGTGCAGGGTTCAGAGAAGGGTCCCCCACCCAACCACTTCTGTCCACGCAGGTGGGCACCAGTTGAAGCCCCACTCTCAAGTTTTCCCAGGGCTCCTGTGGGGATGTTTGGAGGCAGGGGCTCTGGCCCCCTCCTTCGCCATCTGAGTCCTGGACTTAGAAAACTTTTTCCCTCCTGGGTGCTTTTTACTACCTGGATGCCTTTGTGACTTCTGGACAATGCCCTTTTTAACGTCCTGTCCCTTTACTAACTGTACAGAATTTGTCCCCTTCTGATTACAAATGTCCCCTGACCAAATTAAGTTCGCTGCTTGTTCCTAGAAATTGAGGCCATTTCTACCCCAAGTTACAATACCGTGTTTCCCGAAAATAAGACAGGGTCTTATATTTATTTTTCCTCAAGAAGACACCCTAGGGCTTATTTTCAGGGGATGTGTTATTTTCCCCTCCAAGCATCAGCTTGCAGCACGCATAGGATGGCTGGGACCTGACAGGGGAGCCGACCTTGCTGGTGGGGCTGCCCGCACCTTTCCGATCACCTCTGGGATAGTAGCTGTTACGATGGGGCAGATGAGAAGGGCTGCTCATAGTCTTTACCATTCTGCGATGAAACGCATGGGTTGTGCAGATACGCTGCGTAGCCATGCCTAACACTAGGTCTTATTTTTGGGGTAGGGCTTATATTACGAAAATGCTTAGAAATCCTGCTAGGGCTTATTTTATGGGTAGGTCTTATTTTGGGGGAAACACGGTAATTTAGTGAGCTTGTGACTCAAGAGTTTCAGTCACGCCCTCCCCTGGCCCTCACAGTGGCAGCAGGCTCTGGGCAGGCTGGAGCTCAGGTTATCCGCCCTTCTCCACACAAGGGGCTACGGCTCTCCCAGGGTCCCACACAGGCGGAGGGAGCGCAGAAAGCGTGGGGGTCCCTGATGCCCTGAGCCTGCCTTCCTTACATTAGCCACGGGCAGCTCACATGGAGGTGGTGGCAGCATACAAATAAGAAGAAATTTTGTAAGTACCCTGCTCCTGTTCTAGCCAAACACCAAAGGCAGATAGGAATTCTTCCCAGCGTAATACACAGTTGCCCGTTGCCAGGTGGGTGTGGGCGTGGGCTGGGGGTGTGGTCAGGTGGCGGGCTTTTCTCTTTCTGGCCTGCTCTGTTTCCAGAGAGGCTGCCAACCTCTCACACTAACAAGGTAGCTAAGAGGCTGCCGCACCTTCCTGCAGATCCATCACAGTGCCCAGCCCCCTCCTGGGGGAAGTCCCTGTGCCTCCTTACCCCGTCCTGTGACATGCATGCCTCCAGACGGTGCAGACAGGCTCCCCCCAGCCCCCTCCCTTCGTGACAGCAGGCCAGGTCCACCATTCCCTCTTCTGCTGGGGGAAATTTAACTGTTCCACTAAACCACTAACTTTACCCCAGACCTTTAAGATCACATTAGGTCAGTAACACAATTGCCTGCCACACTAGAAAAAATTTTTCCCCCGGGCCACGGTGTTTTATTAAAACAAAATTATCTTTCTAATTTGTTATTGTTTTATTGTTTTCTGTGCCTAAATCATATGCAATGCAATCCACATTTTTAGAATTAAATTGTCAATATTAAGTGTAACAAGAAGAACATCAACAAGTAAGATTTTCACAAGCCAACTGCAGGGTTTTGCTTCATGAGGCCCTGGGCTCAAAACTAGAGTGAGTTAAATACAACTCACATGGCAGTTAATGTGTTAAACATGAAACATCAAACCTCAAATAAATCAGACATTTCCTACCTAACAAGTCAACACATACAGGATCCTGTTCTATTTACCTGAACTTTGACAAAATGATTTTAGTTACAAGACAGTACAATTTAAAGTTTCATTTAACAGCCACTTTTCCTCGCACTCCAGCACACACATTGGGTCATGAGAAATCCATTCTCCTTGTGCGTAGGTTCACAGCTATAAGGTAATCATCCAGCCAAAATTTATTCCCAAGGGACTTTCCGATGGAACAGAAATGGAGTCTCCCATGTTGCACAATCAAACACAGACACTACAATGCAAAATGTCTATCAAACCAGTGGGAATCCAAAGGGGACAGACACCAACCCCAAAATGCCCTGCTAGAAGGTTCAAGAACCTTCCCAAATGGTGGCCTAGTCCCCGCATTCCCTGGGAACCATAAATGAGCTCGGTTTAAACCAGGTCCTCTTAGTTCCACTAGACTCCATGATTTCCCACCCCAAATTGGCATCTGCAAAAAAACCTCCAAATGGGTGCAATCAACGGTCTCATATTTCCTTTTCTGCAACAAAGCTAAAGCTAGCTGGAGCTGTATCTAATTAGGGAAAAGAGACAGGTCGTTCCCTGGAGCTAATCAGACTCTGGCAGCGGCTGGGAAGCTTCCCACTCTCTTACCTGAAAAAGGTGAGTCTCCTGCCCACGGCTTGACCTTGACGGGGGTGGGGGGTGGGGTGGGGGATGCTCCCTGCTTCTGGAAGATCCCTGCCTCTTCCAGCAGTCAGTCGCAAGGTGTCTCTCCACCGGGAAGCTAGTGGGGCAGCCCACCTGGGGAAGACAAATTCTGTTACAGAGAGCTCGCCACTTGTCCAGAAGTCTAATCAGAAGAATGAGGACAAGTAGTTGATGAGAAGGAAAGAGATTTATTACTTTCCTGGCAAGGGAGGAAAAAGGCAGACTATTGTCTGAAAATCCTATCTTTCCTGCATATAGAAATGCAGAGCTTTTAGAGGGAGGGCCCCTCAGTTCTAGGCTACTGCGGTTAACTGTTGTATTTGTCCCATCTCTGCCAAAGACAAAGTCTGGGAACTCTGCCAGCTGCCCACCTGGGAGGCTGGTGCCGTAGGGCAGAGGAATTTGTAAGATAGAGGAAGGGCAGAGAAATTCTTCTAATTGTCAGGAATTTACTTGGGTGGGGCAATGAGCTAACCGCAAACCTTTGCTTCTGGTCATTGCTTGCTTGCTACGCCGCTGTAAGGGGAATTATGGGATGAGGTCATTAAAGCACGGGCGACTGGCCCATCAGGCAATAGAGGGCAACCAACCCGCCAATTATTTCAAAAGGCGATAGTGGGCAACCAATCATTTTAAAGGTCAACGCATGATCCATGCGTAGTCAGCTTGTGCGCAGCTTGTGCACCATGGGGATAAAAGGCATGCCGTTGTTCCGGCCGGGGTCCTTGCCTGCGAGAGTGGCCACTGCGTTGGTGCTCTGGGGCTTGGACCCTGGCTAGCCAAAAAATAAACCTCCTCTTGTGTGATTGCATCCTCAATGTCTCTGCTTTTCTGTCCGGTGGGGCTGTGGAAGGTCGGTCCCTAACAGTGCCACCTGGGATAGGAACAAAAGACCTTCTCCTTGCCCCTGTCCACCACTGGCCTGAGGCAGGGAGGCAGGCTTCAGTTTTCAAAAAGAGTGGGGGAAGTTTCAAAGAGACAGAAAATATTTTTGCTGTTTTTTGTTTTTTTTTCTAGGCCATTCCCTGTTACATACTCCCCACAATCAATTTTACCTTTCCATATCTATGGGAGGAGGGGCTACTACTCTGTTCTGTGGCTGTGTGGCCATTCACTCCTTATGTGGCTGATTCACTTCTCTGAG